CCCAAGACACGCCCCAGACATGCCCCAGACACACCCAGACACACCCCAGATACACCCCAGACACACCCAAACACAACACAGACACACCCCAGGCACACGCCATAAACATCCAGACGCACCCAGGCACACCCTGGACATCCAGACGCACCCAGACACATCTAAACACACCCAGACACACCCAGACACACCCCAGACACACCGAGATACACCCAGACACACCCCCGTAACACCCCAGACACGCCCAAGATACACCCCGACACGCCCCAGACACACACCAAACACGCCACAAACACACCCCAAACACACCCCGACACACCCAGACACACCCCAGACAGGCTCCAGACACACCCAAACACACCCAGACACGCCCCAGACACATCCGAGACACACCCAGACACACCCCAGACACACAGACACACCTAGACACACCCCAGACACACCCAGACACACCCCCGTAACACCCCAGACACGCCCAAGATACACCCCGACACGCCCCAGACACACCCGGACACACCCAGACACATCCCAGACACACCCAGACACACCCGGGCACACCCCAGACACACCCAGACACACCCCAGACGCACCCAGACACACCCAGACACACCTCAGACACGCACCAAACACGCCACAGAAACACCCCAGAGACACCCCGACACACCCAAACACACCCCAGACACACCCAGCACACCTCAGACACACCCAGACACACCCAGACACACCTTGACACACCCCAGCCACACCCCAGACACACCCCGACACACCCAAACACAACACAGACACACCCCGAACACACCCCATACACACCCCGACATGTCGACCACGATGTCTTTGACGATTCTGGCTACGAGGACTCTGACCTCAATTCCGACGACTCTGACCCCAACGCCGACGACGATTTCGATGACTCTCACGAGTTGTACTCCGACGGCGACGGCTCCGACGCTGACTACGAGGACCGTCCGACCGCACTAGTCGTGTACAACCCTTCTTCACTCTACGGCCGAAACCCCAGAATCGCAGTGCCCTCAAGTGTGAACGCATTTCGAGTTAGGGCACATGGGAAAAACACAACAAGGAATCGAGGGACGTGCGCAAGAGACACACCCAGACACACCACAGACGCACACAATCCCCAGACACACCCCAGACACACCTAGACACATCACCAACACACCCAGACACACCCCAGACACACCCCAGGCACACCCAGACACATCCGAGACACACCCAGACACACCCCAGACACATCCCAGACACACCCAGACACATCACCAACACACCCAGACGCACCCCAGACACACCCCAGGCACACCCCACGCGCACGCCAGACGCACGCCCGACGCACGCCAGACGCACGCCAGACACGAACCCAAGACACACCCCAGACACACCCCAAGCACACCCCAGACACATCCCAGAGACACCCCAGACACACCCAGACACACCCCAGACACACCGCCGACAGACCCCAGACACACCCAAAACACACCCATAAACACCCCAGACACACCCCAGACACACCCAGACACACCCCAGACACACCCCATACACACCCCAGACACACCGCAGACAAACACATCCAGACACACCTACTAAAACCTGTTACTGTAGGTTGTGGGCTCCTATGGGCCCTTCTCGGAGACCCGCGCGCTTTCGGGCCAACATTGGCCTGCGGAGTGACTTCAAGCACGATTCAGCTCGAAATGAGTCGAATAGCGCGCAAATTTCCGAGGAGAGACCAAATGCGCCCAAAACCTAAAAAAGCAAGCGAGACAGGGAAAGGGAGGAGGGAAAGGAGGGACGAAGGGGAAAGGAGAGAGGGACAGGAGGGAGGGAGGGAAGGAGGGGCGGCGGGAGGGAGCGGGAGGTCTCTCTCGACTCCGACGGCCCTCTCGGCGGCCCCCTGCCGCGCGCGCGGCGCGCGCGGGCGGCGGGGCGGCTGCGCGGCGGCTGCCGCCGCTGGCCGCCAGCCGCTGGGCGCTGTGGCAGCCCAGCAGCGGCCCGCGCCGCAGGCCTCCTGGCTCCTGGCTGGCGGCCGGCAGGGGACTCGGTCAGAGGATGGAGGGAGGCGCCAGGCGGCCGCGGCGGAGGTCGGAGGCGGAGGAGGCGAGTCGGAAGTCAGAGGAGGGAGGAGGCGAGGAGAGGGGAGTCCGAGGCAGGGGGGGCCAGCAGGAGGAGGGGAGGGAGGGATCGTTTCAAAGTCGGCCGTTTCCGAAACGCCAGATCGTTCAACGCTGGCCGCGTCCGTCTGGGCCGCCGCTGGCGCTCAAACTAGAACGCCCGTTCAACCTTGAACGCCCGCTCGGGGCGGGGCGGGGCCCCCTGCGGCGCCCTGCAGCGCGGAGCCACGGGCCAGGAGCACAGTAAGAGGAGGAGGAGGAGGAGGAGGAGGAGGAGGAGGAGGAGGAGGGGAAGGAGGAGGAGGAGGAGGAGGAGGAGGAGGAGGAGGAGAGGAGGAGGAGAGGAGGAGGAGAGGAGGAGGAGGAGGAGGAGGAGGAGGAGGAGGGGAGGAGGAGGAGGAGGAGGAGGAGGAGGAGGAGGAGGAGGAGGAGGAGGAGGAGGAGGAGGAGGAGGAGGAGCGGGAGGAGCGAGCGAGCGATGATCCAGCCGCGGGCGGCGATCCAAGCTCCCCGGGCATTCAAGTCACCCCCTGGATCCTGGAGGGCGGGGCCAGCGGCCAGCGGCCAGACGACTCGAGCGACGACAGGTGGACAGGACCGCCGATTCAATGATGCCCTCGGGCGCGGCCGCGAGGAGGAGGGGGAGAGAAGGGGGAGGAGGCCCGGGGCTCAGGTGGAGGAGAAGGAGGAGGAGGAGGAGGAGGAGGAGGAGGAGGAGGAGGAGGAGGAGGAGCAGCAGGAGCGAGAGGAGAGGGAGGGACGGGGAAGGGGGAAAGGTGGACAAGAGATCAGTCAGCGCCAGCGCGCCAGCGCTCGTGATTCTCCAGTCCTCCAATGAAAACGAGGCGCCAGTGCTGCCGCAGCGCCCCGCGCTGCGCCAGTCAGCATTGAGCAAGCCGAGCTGACGGCTACAGTATATGGCGTTGTTGTTGCTGTTGTTGCTGTTGTTGTTGCTGTTGTTGTTGCTGCTGTTCTTGTGGCGGTGGTTGTAGTTGTGGTTGTGGTCGTGGTTGTGGTTGTGGTTGTTGCTGTTGTTTTTGTTGTGGTTGTTGTTGCTGTTGCTGATGTTGTTGTTGTTGTCTGCTGCTGCTGCTGCCGCTGCTGCTGCTTCTGCTGCTGTTGCTGGTGGAGGAGGGGGAGAAGGAGGAGGAGGAGGAGGAGGAGGAGGAGGAGGAGGAGAAGGACATGAGAGGAGGAGGGAGGAGGCTCGAGAGGAGAGGGAGTGCCTCGGGCCTCGGTCCGGGCGGCCCCTTTGGCGGGCCCTTGCTCGGGCCGCCGCGGTGGCATTGGCGGCAGGGGCGGGGCCCGGCCCGGGGCGGCCTCCGCGCCCGCGCCCTCCGCCTCGGCCTCCGCCTTGAGCGCCTCACGTCTTGGCCGAGGCGGCCGACTTAGCCGCGCCCTTGGCCTTCTTGGCCGTGGCCTTGGCCGCCGCGGCCGCGGCCGCGGCCGCGGCCTTCGTCTGCATCACGTCCAACAGGTTGCTGCCGATGGCGACGCCCTCTGGCGGCTGCGGCTGCTGTGGCTGCGCAACCGCCTCTGCAGCCGCCGTGGGCGGCCCCGCCTCTGGAGCCGCCTCTGGCCCCGCTGCTGGAGCCACGGGCGCGGCGCCGGCTTCGACGACGCCCGTCGCCTTCTCAGCCGCCGCGGCCGCGGGCGCTGCGCCGCCCTCTGGCACTGGCACTGGCGCTGCGGCGACGGGCGCGGGCGACTCCGCCGCGGCCGCGGTGCCCGCGCTGCCCTCTGGCACTGGAGCCGCCAGCGCTGCGGCGACGGGCGCGGCGCCGCCTCCTGCGGTCGGGTCCGCCGCGGCCTCCTTGGGCTGGCCGTCGACGGCCGCCGCAGCGCCCCCGTCGTTGGCGCCCGCCGCGCCGCCCGCTGCTGGCTCCGCCGCGGCCTCCTCGGGCTGCCCGTCGACGCCGTCGACGGCCATCGCAGCGCTCTCGTCGCTGACGCCCGCCGCGGGCGGCTCCGCCGCGGCCTCCTCGGGCTGGCCGTCGACGGCCGGGGCCGCCGCCGCAGCGCCCTCGTCGTTGTCGCCCGCCGCCGCAGCCGGCAAGCCCGCTGCTGGCGCCGCCGGAGCCTGAGCCTCAAGAGCAGGAGAAGCGCCAGCCTTTGGCATGACCAACTCCAACAAACAATCGAGGTTCGACCGCGCGGCCGCGCCGCAGAGACTGAGCACGCGGCCGAGTTCCCGCCCAGTGTCGTTCGACTTAACTTCTTCCCCGCACCGCGGGAAGAGCCTAGCCGTGAATATCGAGAAACTTGCCTTTCCCCCTCCCTCTTCTCCACCTTCTCCTCCTCCCCCTTCTCCTTCTCCTCCTCCGCCTCATCCCTCATCCTCTCCTCCCCGCCCTTGCCGTTGCCCCCCAGATCATCCTCGTCTTAGTTCATCGCCCTCTTTGTCCTATCCACCTTCCTTTTCCACTTCCGCATCGAGGATGCCCTTAGCCTGCCAGCGCCAGCCTGCTCAACTCTCCCACCTGGGCTCCACCCCCCCCTCCCCCGTGCCCTCCTTGCCCTTTGCCCTCGCCCCCGCCTGCCCTCCGCCTCGCTCGCATCCCGGCCGGGCCCTGCGGCGGAGACCAGCGGACAGCTGATGTATCCAGGAAGGGCAAGGACGCCCCTAGGAAGCACACTTTGCTGGGCGCCGCCACGGCGAGGAGCCAGCCAGGGGGGGCAACGATAGCCTGGCGACTGTCAATGGAGCCACAGAAGAGGACGGGCTTGAAATCCGCAATCAACTTGTTCTGATGTTTTTTTGTTAAATGGCCCTGATCTGCGAGAAAATCAACCAGCACGTTCTTTGCCGACGTAAGCGTTGAGGGACCCGAATCCACATCCGACTTGTCGCGCCGCGCCTGATCGGCCGCGATCAAGTCACTCGCGCGGCAGGCAATGACCAGAGCGTTCCCAGCGCAGGCGACCTTCACCGAGCCGACAAACTTGTCGGTGAAGTTGACAGCGATGCCATTGGGAATGTGCCCGAACAGAGATCCTAGCGAGGCGATGGTTCGGCGATGGCAGGATCAATCAAATATATGTGTAAATATATAATGAATGAGAGAGAGGGAGAGAGAGAGAGAGGGAAAAAAAAGGACGAGGCCATGGGCCATGCAGCCTCCCCCTCCTTCTCCAGATCCTCTTCCTCCTCCTCATCCTCCTCCTCTTCTTCCTCCTCCTCCTCCTACTCCTCCCCCATCATCCCCACTCCTTCCTCGTCCTTCGTCCTTCTTCATTCCCTTGCTCCTCCTCCGACCTCCTCCCTCCCCCTCCTCCTCCTCCTCCTCCTCCTCCTCCTCCTCCTCCGCCTCCGCCTCCGCCTCCGCCTCCTCCTCCTCCTCCTCCCCCTCCTCCTCCTCCTCCTCTCCTCCGAGGTCTCCTCCTCCTCAAATCGACGCCCCCGCGCCCCTGGAGCTGCGGCCCCTGGCGACTGGCCTGGGCCCAGGGCCCAAGAAGTTTAGGGGGCGGCCGCGGCGGCCCTGCCTTGCCCCGGGCGCCGGGGGAGGAAGCCCAGGAGGGATGGGGCCCCAGCGGCTCCGCGCTCGTGGAGGAGGAACGAGGAAGGAGGGAGAGGAGGAGGAGGAGGAGGAGGAGGAGGAGGAGGAGGAGGAGGCGAGGGAGGGAGACGAACGCTCCCGGCGGTCCTGCAGCGAAGAAGGACTTCATGTCGTCAGGGATGTCGTCGCCGTGCACCGCCGCGGGCGGGAAGATGTCCATGAACTTCTTCACCTCGTCCAAGCCCATCTTCGGATGCATGGCGGCCTCCTCGTAGATGCTGTTGGATCTCGTGCACTTGGCCTTCAACGCTGGCTCCCACTGAGTCATGGTCACCTGCGTCTTCGTCATACTGTTGGGCGCCGCGAACACCTCTTTGCAATCCACGATGAACGGTTCGGGGACGCCACCGCTGGCCTCAAGCGAGGCCCTGGCGGACTTCACGCTGGGGAACGATACGATATTCTTGTGCCCATTCTTCTCGTAGTCGCCATGAAAAGCGGCAGCTGAAATCTTGAAGCGCTCGGTCTGCAGGGACGCTCGTTCATCTGCCAAACTCTTCTCAGCCCGCTCCTTGCGCCTCGACTCCTCCAGCTGCGCCTGCACCTCGTCCTCTTTCTGCATCAGCTTCACTGCCTTCTTGAAATCCGCCAGGCAAACTTTGCACCCGGTCATGACATTGGTCATCAGCGCCATCTGGGCATCGAGAAGTTTGGTGACGTTGGCGAGCCCAGCCTGCGTAGTCGAATCCTGGGTCTGCTTGACCAGCTGATCTTTATAGCTCACCACGCGCAAGTCTCCAAGACCAGTGATCTGCATGTCGCTGATACGTGCCAAGTGGTCCAGAACATTCTGCGCCGTCGCCTGGTGCTTCTCGTAAGCCTGGGGGTCGTCAGGCTTCACTCCCGGGTCCTTCTGAGGTAGCCGCGCAAGCCAGAGTGCCGTGGCCACGGCTGCCCCGAGGCAGATCGGACCATGCAGTCTTCGACAACTAAAAGAAACCGTCCTCCCTCCTCGCCCCCCAACCTTGCCGCCCCCCCTTCGCACTCAGCCCACGCGCCCTTCGGGCCCGTCGTGGGCCCATGGGTGGATCCAAAGGCGCTTTAAAACTGCCTGACCGACTGCATCAATCAACGATCTGCCCCAGAACAACTGGCCTACACTATGCGCCTGCTACGGCTCAGCCCCGCCTGGATGTCCACGAACTCCCTGGGGTCGTCCTCGCTGCCGTCGCCGTTCTTGTTGATCTTGCGCGCCTGGCCGATGATGGCAAGCAGCAGGTCCAAGCGCTCCAGCAACGCCTTGTACTCCTCCGTGGCGTAGCGGGACTTGTGGGCCCAGAGGTCCTCGACACAGGCTCCGATCAACTTCTTGATCGCCCCCTCCTTCTTGCCGTACTCCATGGTGTTGATTTTCCTGACCAGCGCATTCCTGGCAACCCTGACGTCGTTGCCCTTGTTGGCATCAGGAGACCCCGCTGGCGCGCCTCCGCTGTCGCCGAAGCACTGGCCGCCACCCGGGGTCTGAGAGTCGCCCTTGCCGTCAGCATCGGCGGAGGCGCCGGAGGACTTCGTTGGCGTCTCGCCGACTGCTGACAACAGCAGCTCCTCCACCTCGGCAACGGATGCTGATCCAGAGGGCAACGATGAGGCCGTGTTCAATTGAGCCGTTGTCACGCCAGTAAGAGTGCCGAAACCCTTCTTGGTGGCGTCAAGCAGCGCCTCCTTCGCATCTTCGTCCATGTGCTTTTGTTGCTTGCTCGTCGTCCTGACCTCCTTCGCCTCGTACGTCGTGGCCCCAGACTGCTCCTTGTCAGTGCCGATGAGGGCCGGCGGGACGAACAGCCGCAAAGGCGCCTTCGGGTCATACCCAAGATTGTCCGCATGGTTCTCGGGGTTCGCTGCCAACTCGTCCCATAGCTTCTCGCACTTCGCAGGCATCCAGCCCCGGATGCTTCTCAACTGCGTGCAAAAGATCTCCTTGTCCCACTTCGGCCGCTCCGATAAGTCTGCTTTATGCTTGGACGCACCTTTGACATGTGCATACTGCGTAAGGTCCAGCTCTCCACGAGATTTGCCAGTCTTCACGCCCTTCTCGCACGGCGGGTACTTCGCGTGGTACTCAGCGACGACCTTGTCAGCAGCCTCAGCGTCGCCAGGATATTTGTCTGGATGCTTCCTGCATCCGAAGAGCGTTTGATAGGCATCCCACTGCTTGTTGGACTCGCCAGCCTTGAGATTTAATCCTTTGCAAGCCTTCCGCCGAATGCACTCGTGAGTCGTGTTGTGTTCCTCGCAGTATCTCTTGCCAGGTTTCACGTCCTTGCCGTCCAGCGTGCACTTGCCAGAGGCCCCAGTCTTCGCCTTCTTGCCCTTCGGCCCATCATCGTCGGACGCCGTCGACCCCGCCGCGGACGTCCCGGACGCCGCCGTCGACGCCTCGCTCCTCGCCAAGTTCTTCTTCACCTCGTCTTCGAGCCTCCTCGCCTTGATGTTCTCGCGGAACTCCCCGACCTCCGACCGCGCATGCTTGATGCTGGCGATGCCCTTCTCGCCTTGCTTGATTTGCTTGTCCAGCGGGCCCGGGTGCTGCCCAGGGACGTCACCAGCGAAGTCGAACATGCTCTCGGCCCCCGGCGCGTCCGTCTCCGCCATCGGGACTGTCTGTTGGCTGCAAGCTGCACTGCCGGGCCTGACCCAGGGGCTGCCCTGCGACGGCCGCGCTCGAGGAGAGCCAGAAGGCTACGAGACAGGGGCAGTTGGGATCGGATCAGGTCGGAGGAGGCAGGAGGTGGGGCGGCGTGGGCTCTGGGACCAAGGGAACTGCTGTTGCTACGATTTGATGCCAACCGCGCACAGAACTCAGCCCGCGGGCGACATGTCCCAGGCCAAACGGCAACTTTCAGTTCCGCTTCGAACTTCAACATATGAATGTTCCGAGGATGTCTCAAGTGAAGCGCGCATTCTTAGCATAAGACGTCTTAGGATGTGACCTCCATCTTCGCGATCTGGCGAGGATGTCTCGATGTCTCGAGCGAAACTATCCTTTTTCTCCGACCTGGCGGCGGAAGGGGTTCCCGTTTAGTGTCCCCCTGGGGGGGGGGGGGGGGGGGGGCCCAGGGACATGGCCCCGGCGACGGGCGGAACGCCTGCAGAAGACGGCGGAAGACGGCACCACACAACACACGGCCCTATTTCTGCAGACGCGCTTCCGGGAGGCACGGACGGCCCCAAGATGGTCCGAGAAGGCTTCGAGTCGCCGAAAGATCTGCCAAAGACGCCCTAGATGGCATTGTATCCGGAATCGGCTTTCAAATGTTACCGGCGCGGGTCAGCGCAGGTCAGCGCAGGTCAACGGGGTCAGCGCAGGTCAGGCCAGTCAGCGCAGGTCAGCGCAGGTCAGCGCAGGTCAGGCCAGTCAGCGCAGGTCAGCGCAGGTCAGCGCAGGTCAGCGCAGGTCAGCGCAGCTCAGATTGTGCCCTGTCCTCCCTGTCCGAGACCCGTGCCGTCCTGCGTCGTTCTGTGAGGACCTGCGCTGACCTGCGCTGACTTGCGCTGACTTGTGCTGACCTGATCCACAGAGGTCCCGGGACGTTTCACAGAGGCCTCTACTACTACTGCTACTACTGCCCAAGACGGCGCAAGATGGCCTGAAGACGCCTCCAAGAGGGCTCCAAGGGGCTTCTAAGAGGGCCCCAGGAGAGCGCCACAAGAGGGCGCCAAGACAGAGCTAATTAGGATCACCCGGAAGGCCTCTGCTGGGTGATTCCAATTGGGGCCCTCTTGCGGCCCTCTTGGGAGCCTCTTGGGGCCCGAGCTGGCCCCAAGATGGCTCAAGATAACCTCCAGGCGCTTCCAAAGAGACCCTAAGAGGCCCCAGGAGGGCCACAAGAGGGCCCCAAAACTCACCCGATTAGGATCACCCGGAAGGGCTCTGCCGGGTGATCCTAGTTGGAGTCCTTTTGGGGTTCTCTTGAGAGCCTCTTGGGGCCCAACATGGCCCCAAGATGGCCTCGAGAAGGCTCCAAGACGGTCTCCAGACGGCTCCAAGAGGGCTCCAAGACGGACCCAATTAGGATCACCCGGCAGAGGCCTTCCGGGTGATCCCAATTGGGTCCGTCTTGCAGCCCTCTTGGGGCTCTCTTGGGCGCCTCTTAAGGCCCTCTTGGAGGAGCGTGGAGGCCATCTTGGGAGCAGGAGCAGGAGGAGGAGGAGGAGGAGGAGGAGGAGGAGGAGGAGGACGAGAAGGAGGAGGCCCCCCCCCCCGGCATGAGGCCACTGCCGCCACCGCCGCCACCGCTGCCGCAGCCGCGCGCCCTGCTTGCGGAGGCGCGGGGTGCGGGGAGGGGGGGGGGAGAGGGAGGAGGAGGAGGAGGAGGAGGTGGAGGAGGAGGACGAGGAGGAGGACGAGGAGGAGGACGAGGAGGAGGAGGAGGAGGAGGAGCGATCAGGAGCGATCAGATGAAAGGACAGCGTACGTCCACAATCGGCGCCATGGCCTTCGGTGACCTGGCCCGCTTGAGGGTTAAAACTGAGGCCTCAGTTTTAACCCTCGGGAGTGGCAACTTGAGCCACTCCCTCGGGGGGTGGAACGCGATCGTCGCTCGAACCGAGGCCGAAGACGGCCTGAGGAGGGGAACAAGGGATGAGGCTGGCCCCAAGATGGCGCAAGATGGCCTGAAGACGCCTCCAAGAGGGCTCGAAGGGGCTTCTAAGAGGGGCCCAGGAGATCGCCACAAGAGGGCGCCAAGACAGAGCTAATTAGGATCACCCGGAAGGCCTTTGCTGGGTGATTCCAATTGGGACCCTCTTGCGGCTCTCTTGGGAGCCTCTTGGGGCCCGAGCTGGCCCCAAGATGGCTCAAGATGGCCTCCAGACGCTTCCAAAGAGGCCCTAAGAGGCCCCAGGGGGGCCACAACAGGGCCCCAAAACTCACCCGATTAGGATCACCCGGAAGGGCTCTGCCGGGTGATCCTAGTTGGAGTCCTTTTGGGGTTCTCTTGGGAGCCTCTCGGGGCCCAACATGGCCCCAAGATGGCCTCAAGAAGGCTCCAAGACGGTCTCCAGACGGCTCCAAGAGGGCTCCAAGACGGACCCAATTAGGATCACCCGGCAGAGGCCTTCCGGGTGATCCTAATTGGGTCCGTCTTGCAGCCCTCTTGGGGCTCTCTTGGGCGCCTCTTCAGGCCCTCTTGGAGGCGCGTGGAGGCCATCTTGGGCGCTCTTTGGGGCCAGCTTGGGCCTCAAGAGGCTCCCGAGAGGGCCCCAAGAGGCCCTCGAGAGGGCTCCCGAGAAGGCCGTGGCGGGGGCGGCGGCGAGGACGACGACGATCCCCTAGATCGGGCGCTGCGATAAAAAAACAATTGGAAGTTTTTCGTTCTTTTCGGCTCCGGGGGCCTTCGCCGGGCCTTTCAACCGTCAACAAACGATTGAGGAGGGGGAGGAGGACTAGAGAGAACTTAGGATGCTGCTACGCACCCTCCCGTGCCATGTCCCTTCCTCGTAAGTCCATGCAAGCATTTCCTTTCACACCTAGACGCGCGCCCTTGAAGGATTGGCGCCCATTTCTCGAGGTGTTGAAGCAGGGACACTGCTACTACTACTACTACTACTACTACTACCACCACCACCACCACCACCACCACTACTACTACTACTACTACTACTACCACCACCACCACCACCACCACCACCACCACCACCACCACCACCACCACCACCACCACCACCACTACTACTACTACTACTACTACTACTACTACTACTACTACTACTACTACTACTACTACTACTACTACTAGGCCCCAAAGGGGCCAGCGAGGGGGCGGAAAGGGCGGAAGCCCGAAAGCCCCATAGGGCCAGCGAGGGGGCGGATGGGGCGGAAGCCCTAAAGCCCCACAGGGCCAGCGAGGGGGCGGAAAGGGCGGAAGCCCCAAAGCCCCATTGGGCCAGCGGCGGGAGGCGGAGGGGGCGGAAGCCCTAAAGCCCCATAGGGCCAGCGAGGGGGCGGAAGCCTTAAAAGCCCCATAAGGCCAGCGGCGGAGTGCGGGGGAGGCGGGAGGCGGGAACCCTAAAAAGCCCCATGGGGCCAGCGGCGGGGGGCGGACAGAAGGCCCCGGGCGCCCAGTTGGAGTGGGCGAATATTTCAAAATCCGCCCACTCCAACTTGGGGGGGGAATGCGACGACGATCCGCGACGATTGATGTACACAGTTTTGACTCCGGCCGTCGTTGTCGTCGTCGTCGTCGTTGGCGTCTTCGTCGTCGTCGTCGTCGTCGTCGTGGGCGTCGGCGAGGCGGCCGGAGTCAAAACTGTGTACATCAATTTGCTCCGCTTGTCAGTGCACATCCCACTTGTCCTCCAAGGTCGGGGTCCGTGGCAATATCAGGTTCAAATCCGCCTGGCCCCGGCCCCGGACCCGCGAGCCCGCGAGCGACCCGAACCGTTTCCCATCTGCCATCTGCGCCCTCCAATTTACACATCACTCTGAGCTAAGATCGTCCATCAGGCGAATCTTCGAGTCTCAGCGCGCTTCTTGTCAGCGCATGGCGCAAGAACCTGCGGCATCATCGCGATCAAATATAAGTGGACGAGCTCTCCTCCCCGAGCGTCCACAAGCGTGATTCCCCCGTCTCCCCCAGCCTGGGCCTGGAGTCTCCCACTCACTGCCGCACTGCCACCATCATCTTAACAATCACCATCGTCACCATCGCCATCGCATCATCGCCACCATCATGCTGCAGCAACATCACATGCAATATCATCACCATCATCATCATCATCATCATCATCATCATCATCATCATCATCACCATCGACGTCATCACCATCATTATGACGATTAGCGGCACGCCCGGCCCCGATGACATATCACTCCTCATCCTCGCTCCTTACCTCCTACCTCCTCGCCTTCACTCCTACCTCGCACCGCCTCATGCATCATCCTGCCTCCTCCGACCGACCTCCAACGTCCTATGACATGACCCCCTCTTCCTCCTCCTCCTCCTAGCCTCCTAGTCCTAGCCCACTCAGTCGCGCCCCAACCCCTGCACAGGCGGCCGGGCAGCAGCGGCCTCCGCCTCCGCCAGGCTCGGCGCCGCCGCTGCGCCGGCAGGGGCTCGGCAGCGCGGCGCCAGCGCAGGCCGCGAGCTGGCCTGCGACGGCGGGCCGCCGTGGAGAATCGACGGAGGAGTGGTGGGAGGAACGAGCAGGAGGAGAGCCCTAGGGCGCAGTTTCGCACCGTGGTTTTCGGCGCCCAAGACGGCCCAGGAGCGCCCCCGAGGGCCAAGGGCAACAAGAAGAGCCCTAGAAAGGCCGACGATGGCCCGGATCATGTTTTACACCCCCCACCCAGCCCCCGCGACCACTCTGGGCGCCTGCCCGCTGCCAGCCGGGCCCCTCTCGGGGCCCTCCTGGGCCCTGGAGACCGTCGGTGAAAGGAAGACAGAGGAAAGAGGAGGGCGGCGATCGGCGATGAGGGGCAGGAGTAAGGAGGTAGTACGAGCAACGAAGGAGGTAGAGGAGGGGGACGAGGAGCAGGAGCAGGAGCAGGAGCAGGAGCAGGAGCAGGAGAAGAGGAGGTACGAAAGCTTGCGAACTTGCGATTCAGGTCACTTGGGACTTGGGAGTTGGGACCCGTCGAACACCGAGCCAGAGGGATGATGATGAAGCTCTGGGAGGAGGTGACGCGAGGGCCAATGGAAAGGTCTGTAATCTTTCAATGGCTATACAACATACTTCAATGTGCGTCGGCAAGAGCAGTCCATCGCTCGAAAGCCGATCTGATTTACACCATGTGCGCTGCTGGGCTGCAGTTGGCCAAACGGGGCGATGCATATTGATTGCTGTATTGTGCTGATTGTTGCCATTAGGTGCGGCGCGATCTCCGCTGCTGCTATCGTGTTCTTCGGAGATGCATCGGGCCCCGAGCCTTTCGAGCCCACTTGCAAGACCAAGGCGGTGTCCAGAGAACGCACTTTCCCAGCGCCAGCCGCCTGGCCTATTGCGAGCTCTGGAAGCTCCTGCGGCCTCGGATACCAGCTATTTGCAGCCTGCGGCAGCGCCGCAAACAACTCGCTGCACGTCTCAGGCAAAACCATCCTGCTGCAGCTGGCAGCTGGCCTGGGCATGCAGCGAGCGGAGCGGCAGTGGGCTCTGAAAATTGCACTCGCTCGTGCAGCAATCTTAAATGCTGATTCCTAGCACTGGTGGGCCCTGGTGGGCCACTGGCGGGACCACTGGCTGGTCGCCGCGCCTAGCCCGTGACCTCCGGAACCGCCTCCTGGAACTGGAACGACGAGCTGCTGCCGCGGCGGAACAGGCCGCTGGGCGCGGCCGCGCCGCCTGCTGAGCCTGCGCCGGGCCCGTTGGCGTCGGCGCTGTCCGCGCTGCTGGCATCAACGACGCTACCCATCAACGTCTGCCACGACGCGCCCCAATCAGGTCTAAACTCGAGCACCACGTTCCTGCGCACGGTGTAGGACATGAAGAAGACGTACCACGCAGCCCACGCGGGCAAGCTGACTCCATTCCCGTGGAGCTTCCGGTGCGCAGTCAAGCCGAAGTGGTTCTGCTGGAAGGCGATGCCGAGCTCGGCGGCCCAGTCGCGGTTCCCGGCGTTGATGAAAGACGGCCATCCACGCGAGAAGTCCAGCTCCTGGGGCGTCAGCACGCGCCCCTTCTTGTCGCGTGGCCCAAAGAAGACGACCTGCTCGGCATTCTTCACGGCCGAAGGAAGATACGGCGAAGCGGACCCGCGCTTGGCCTCCCAGTTCTGGCCCAGGTCGCAGCACACAGCGTCACTGTGAACACCCTTCCTGTTGCCGACGTCTTTCAAATACTGGAGGATGCGGCGCTTCTTCTTGCCCTTCGTGAAGTCAGCCAACGTGCAATCGATGGTGACGTTGGGGTCGCCGCTGCAGAACTTCTTCCTCGCCTCCAGCTGGGCCGCGGCGCCGTCTAGGCCGCAGACGATGGACACGTCCTCTCGAGGATTGGACAGGCTGAACATGCTCGAGACGGGCCCCCTTTAGTTTTACAAGGGGATAGCCCAGGGAAGGGGGGGGGGGCGGCGGGCGGAGATGGAGAGAAGAGGCAGAGAGTTTCAAGAGAGGGGGAGCGGGAGGGAAGGAGAGAGGAGGAGAGGAGGAGGGTTGTGATCTTCACCTCGGGCTTCGAGACATCTGGGTCGGGGTCGGGCCAGGGGTCGGGGCTGGGGCTCCAGGCTCCAGGCCCATCATCCGCCAACGACCAGGCCAGGCGACTGCAAATGAGAGGAGGATGCAGGAGTTGGAGGAGAAGGAGGAGGAGGGCGAAGGAGGAGGAGGAGGAGGCATGAGAGGACTCACATCTGCGCGGGCGCGAATGCGTCGCTCTCTCGGGCCGTCTTGGATTGGGCCGCCTCTGGCGGCTGGCGGCGCCCAAGACAATTCAGAAGCGGCCCAAAACGGCCAAACAGAAGACGCACTCGCCCCCTCGCAGATGTGATTCCACTTGCCTCCCTTAATCTCCTCCACCCTTCTCCTCATCCTCCCCCCACTCCCCCCTCCGAGGGCGCCCTCCCCGGGCAGCGCTTGGAGTTTCGCGCCCCCTTTCCCCGCGGGGCACGCCGCCGAAGAAGGACAGGAACTTCTCCGTGACCAGCTGCGGGTCTTCGGGCAACAAAGAAACCATGGTCTCGTGGAGGCCGCCCGAGATGAAGATCCGCGGACGGTGCTCTGGATACCCAATCTCCTCGGAGCAGCGGGGCCAAGCACCTCCCTCCTGCCTCCCTCCTCCCTCCTCCGTTTCCTCCTCCTTCCTCCTTTGCTCTGCCTCCCCGACGGGCCGATCCCTCCTTTCCTCTCACCCGCCATCCTGATCATGTAGCCCCCCCCCCGCGCCTCCCCCCTCTCCTGCCTCTCCTCCCTCCTCCCTCGCTGGCCCACCCCTACTCATGCCGCCTCACCTACTCATCCTTCTCCTACGCTTACGCATCATATGGTTTTTATTGCGCTAAGATCCTCGGGTGAAAGCTTGATCCACCGCAGCCACCGATGGCGCCCGAAGTCGTTCTCCGCCTGCTTCGCCTCGAACAAGTGGCTGTTCTCCAAGTGGAGCAGGTCGGTCTTCACCTGCGAGTCCCAGGCCGAGAACACGTGATACGACTCTGTCGCATCGTGCCCCTCTTTTGTGCGCAGGCCACAAGGAGCGAACGGGGCGCACAGGAAGCCCGCGAAGGCCGCGGTGACGGGGCGCACCTTGTCCTCATCAGGCCCCTCCTGATCATCAGCCCACGCCATGGGGCAACCGTCCCCGACTGGGTGGAGCAAGCACTTCACCTTCTTATCCCGGCCGAACCACTGCTTCGTGTACTGCTTGACGTAACTGCCCATCTCCTTGAATTTCTGGGTGCGGGCCTCGAGCGTCATTGCAGGGGTCGGCCTCATCTTCTTGATGGAAGCCTGTCCCTTTGGCCCCATCAGGTGCTGCACGCTCGGGAAGAAGTGGATTGGCTTGCCGGCGCCCGACTGGGTTGCAATCGCTTGGCAGCACTTGTTGTCGTCACACCCATTCCAAACCACGAGCCAATCAGATGTCGGCGGCATGTAACCCTCTTCGTTCATGGCCCACCCGAGGCCCCGCAACACTGCCACTTCCGACAGCCTGCCCGAGAAGTACGAATGAACAATGAGGCCGTGCACGTGAAGGTTCCTGAACCGGTCCATCCGCCCATCACACACGTTCGGGCGCTCCGTGGCCCCGTTGACGAAGTTCGCCCTGAACATAGTTCGGACCATCTGTGTCGGCCACGACGCGTACTCCACAGGTGTCACTGGGCCTGCGTATCGGCCATTGGGGCTCGCGATCCTCTTCATCACCCACGTCTCGGACCCAATGCCAGAGAAACGCCGAGGCTCCGTCCGCTTCGGCACCTTCGCCGCCGCGGGCTTCTTCTGGATGGGCTTGTCGCCGTCGCTGCCCGGCTTGGCCTGGACCGTGCCCTTCTTGCCCCAAAGGCGCCCCGCCAACGACTTCACCATGGCGCGGCAATCCAACGGGAGGCAAGCAACTGCCAAGCGTCGGCGGAAGAAGGAGGCCGCGGGCTGCCTTGCCCTGGGGGCCCTGGCCAAATGGCTCGGGCCACTCGCGGCCTCAGAAGAAAAGAAAGGGAGGGTGCAGGCTCTGGAGGACAGCGCGCCCCAGCAGGGGCGATCCTACAGCCTGTGCCAGGCTTGCCAACAAAGTTACCCGTGACTCCTAGCCAGTGAGGCCGCGGGGCGGCTGCCCCCCGGCCCCAGGCCTCCAGCATTTCAACTCAGAGGTGATCGAATCGCTCGAGAGCTCAAGGCTGAAGGGCCCAAGGGAACGTTGGGAAACAGAATGCTCAAGCGTATTCGGCCATCGTTGTCGTCATTGTCGGTCGACGTCGTCGTCAAGGATGATGATGACGATAATGATGACGACTATGTTGATGACGCTGATGATGTTGAGGACGAGAATGATGATGATGGCGACGTATGGTAGTGTCAACGGCAATGATGATGAGGACGACGATGGTGATGGTGATGATAATGCGGAGGAGGATGAGGATGAGGATGGCGCGGGGGGCGGCGGTCGATCCTCAATTTGCGGCCAGCACGCCGACCGCCAGCGTGTTCCCATACCACCAGTACCTGGCGGCTGCGCGCGTGGGCGGCGCCGCTGGGGCCTTCGGTGGAGCTCCCTATCGGGGTCGCGAAGCCCGCGGCGAGAGTGACGGCGCGGCACCGAACGGCGCCGCCGTCCACCCACAGGAGCAAGGCCATGAAGGGGTCGCGGCGGTGGAACTCTGCGCGCAAATCGTGCCACAATGGCCGCAACCATACGGCTGGCACGCTGCGCCCTGCATCGGCTGGCCAGAACCAGCAGTCTGGCGGCTGCTGGGAGGGTAGGGGCAACTCGAGCCACGCTGGAGCCCACCAGGGCCAAGGCCCTGGCGGGGTCGGTGGTAAGCCAGGCGGCGGAGGCACCCGGGCCCTCCCCACAAAAGTGCCCACCACATGCCGCGGGCGGTCGGGCAGGTCGAGGCCCGTAGGGCCGAAGAGGACCCCCTGGTCGCCGATTGCCCCTGGCCGCGCCGCGGGCGCTGGAGGCAGCGGAGGCCACTGGCCCGAGGGCGCTGGCGGATCGAAGGTGCCGCGCACCTGCGCTAAAGACCAAGGGCCGCACCGCATGGACACGGGCGCGGCGCCCCTCCCCGGGCGGCCTTGGCGCTGCTTGAGTACGCATGAGGACGATGAATGATTAAGATGATGATGGCAATGAGGAGGCTGATGGCTGATGAAGATCATGACTAGATGAACTGTGTGACGATGAGAAAGAAGAGGGTGGACATGGTAATGATGAGTCTGACAAGGGCGCTTCTGCACAACAAGGACCCCTCTGGCCCCTCTGATACTACACCTGTGAGCAGTCAGTCCCATCGCCGCCTCTCAAGACGGTTTCAATGATTTCCACTGTTGTTTGCTATAGGTCCCAAGCTATGGGGCATGGGGGGTATCGACAAGGCTACGATTTCGGGCCTCGGGTCGTTGCTTCACGCAGAGCTCTATAGCATGTAGCACATATGGTGTAACATCATGTATGTCATGTAGCTTGTAGCTCGTATCATGTCGGACCGCAGGTCGACTCCCTCGTCCTCGTCCTCCTCTCCTCGTCCTCGTGCCTTCGAAAAACCCGGTCTTAAGTAACATTTCCGCCCTGGCCCCCGGGCAATAATTGTCTTGGGTGCTCTTTCGCTGTCCCTGCCACGTGCCCTCTTGGAGCCATCTTGGGGCCCTCTTGAGGCTCCTCTCGGTGTTCTTGGATGCCTCCAAGAGGGCCCCCAAGGCCCCAAGTAGGGCTCCCAAGAGGGCCCCAAGAGGCCCAAGAGGGCCCCAAGAGGGCCCCAAGAGGACACGGGACCGCAAGGGGGCTGGTACATAACCAGAGGCGTTGGTTATACAGCACCATGGGGCCCTGCGGGGGCCCTCTTGGAGCCATCTTGGGGCCCTCTTGAGGCTCCCCTGGGTGTTCTTGGATGCCTCCAAGAAGGCCCCGAAGCCCCAAAGAGAGCTCCCAAGAGGGCTCCAAGAGGCCCAAGAGGGCCCCAAGAGGGCCCCAAGAGGACGCGGGACCGCAAGGGGGCTGGTATATAACCAGAGGCGTTGGTTATACAGCACCTTGGGGCCTTGCGGGGGCCCTCTTGGGGCCATCTGGGGGCCCTCTTGAGGCGCCTCTCGGTGTTCTTGGATGCCTCCAAGAGGGCTCACAAAGCCCCAAAGAGGGCCCCCAATTGGGCTCCAAGTGCCCCGTGAGGGCCCCAAGAGGGACCCCAAGAGAGCTTCGCAAGGGCGTGACTGAGACGATGGTAATGCAAGCAACCGATGCGTATCATATCGGTTGAGTACTTCACTAGCACTGCCTAGCTCCGCCCCCAAGGCTGGGCATCGGGCAATGTCCCTGCGCAATTGAAATTCGAAACAAGCGAGTCCTCCACCGCGATAGCATTTGGATAACGAGAGCAGACTGATCGAGCTGCGCTGCTTGAGGGCGCTGGGAGGCTTGCGGCTACCGCCGCCCCCGAGCTCAGGCCGTCGGCAAGCGCGGCCGGCGCGGCGTCTTCGAGTGACAGTGGAGCGCCGAGGCCTGGCCCCGGCGAGCCGCCCGGCGAGCTTGGCGACGACGCGACAACTTCCGCATCCTGAGACGAAACCTTCTGCCGCTTGGGGTCGGGGAGCTCAGACTCAGACAGTGACTCAGACCCTTGGAGAGCCTGCTCAGCCTGCTTGAGGGCCCTGGCAGCGGCTGCGGCAAAGGACATGCAAGCCGCTCCGCTGCCGCTGTGGGCCGCCTCAGCCGCATCGCAAATGGGCGGCGGCGCGCCGCTGCCGCTGCCGATGAGCTTGAGCTCGCCCACCAGCACCGAGCCAAGAGGGAGACCAGGCACTTCCACAGCGACATGGAAGTCTGGGGGTCTGGCAGCCATCTGGGGCGACGCTGCGCGCAAAGGGCGTAGGTTTCGAGCTCGAGCTCGAGCCCAGGGCTGCAGAGAGAGTAGGCGCAGGACGCGCCTGATCCCCATGCAAACCCGAACTGGGACCCGCAACCTCGGAGGAAATTGAGGATAGCAAGAAGCATTTTGATAGGCGGAAGAGGAGGAAGGGAACGCGTCTCGCAAGACGAACACACTAAACGAAAAGGATGTGGAGGAGAGGAGGGGGCGGGATAAGGAAAGGGGCCCAAACCCATTGGGGCTACTTACTGCCTCCTTCAGCCTGCCAGCAACCCGCTGCGCGAGATTGAGCAACTGGCGCAATGCCTCCAAGTGGCTTCCGGGACTCATCGTCGCTGTCTCAGATCGGGCACGAAACAAGCGACGATGGGAATGTTTTCGAATAGACGACGCGTGACCAACATCAACACAACAATTTGACCAAAATGGCAATGAATTTGTGGTTTGACAACGGAATGATTGGAAACTTGCGAAAGTGTTTGCGAAACGCCCAAACCGATCGCAGATGCAACAAAACGACCTAAACCACTCCAAACGGACACAAATTCACTGCAAACGCGCAAACTTACACCTAAAACCTTCAGACCGACACGACTTGACAAGAATTGCAACAATGTGCTCCGAAATCGCTCAAATCATACAAAACTGACCCAAACCAACAAAAAGAAGCAAAATGCTCCAAAATGACACAAACCGATCAAAATTGCAAAAAAAACATATCAAATCGCTCGTTTTGATTAAAAAATGGCTCGCTGGGCATTTGCGGTGGTCAAGGGCCACCAAGGGGCGCGGGCAGAGGTGCGGGGAGGTGCGGGGAGGTGCGGGGAGGTGCGGGCAGGAGGTGCGGGGAGGTGCGGGGAGGTGCGGGGAGGGCCTCGCTGAGCCCTCTGGCGCGCTAAACTGTCAAAAAAACCCAAAACGGCGAAAAAATGCGCCCAAAACACAAAACAGCGATCAAATAACTCATTTGGTGAGATCTTGTAGCCGCTTCTACATATTCGAAGCGTCTTCGCACTGTTCAGCTTGATTATAGCGGTTTTGATGTCAAACCAACATGATTTGACCGAAAATGTTGCTCATCATATGAATTATGCTGATTCGACTCGCTTCGATTCAAAATTGTAAACTTCGACGCACAATGGCTGTTCGGAGACGGTTTGAGTCGCGAACTAAGTGATGTGGGCGCTCGATGGACGAATGTTACCAAATGCGACGTGAACCAACCGAACTGCGATGCATGTCGGCTGCACCCGCGCATCGCAACCGAAACGAAACGTTTGAAGCGTTTCAATGGACATATGTGGTGTTTGTTCCCGATGCGATGTGACGCGCTACGATTTCTCTCGATCGCGCTAAAAAAAAACCCAGTCGCGCCGACCTGGCCATAACAGGCGGGGCGCCGACATCCAAGCTTTTCGAGTTTCTTCCGGGCCTCAAGTGCCCCATCTGCTCTAAAGTCAAAATTCGACGAACGATGCCTAAACATCTTTGGGGGCGCGCGGCCCCATGACCCTCGAAGGAAATAGGAAGGCCCCTGGACACTGGAGCCCATGGGCCCCGAACCCGAACACCACGAACAGAGAAACGATTAACCTTCTCAAGCCTCCTTCGACCTTCGACCCCCCCCATCGTGCTCTCGTGATCCTCGAACTTCCCACCTTTCACCCTTGGTGCAAGCTGCGCCCACCTCCAAAGGCGCTTGCCAGCGGTGGCCTCGCCGCCGCCGGCGGCAGCAGCAGCGGCGCTGCCAGGCCACCGGCCAGGGGCGCACCTCCCTTCCTTGCCCCATCTCGTAGCCCTGGGGTGCCCCACCCAAACCTCGATGCCCTGATGGCTGCTGGGGGCCTCCTTGAGCGTCCCCATCCCACAAACCCTTCCAACTCCAAGCCCGCACCTCCTCCCTCCCCCCCCCTTCCCTTGCCTTTTACTTTCTAGGCCCCTTGCCCATGCCCAGGCCCAGGGGCCCCTTTTCCTATGACAGAGGGCCGGACCCGGACGCCGAACGAAACGAAACGCTCTTCTCTCGACTCTAGGCTCTAGGCCGATGCAATCAACAATCATAAGCTACTTGCGAATTGCGAAGACCCCTGTTCTACGACGACTGATGTCGTTACTGCGGCTGTCATTCACCCGACTGGTCACGCGCCCTCTCTGCCCTTCCCAGAGGCCAGGAGGGGAAGGGGAAAGCAGGAGGGATGAAGCCCCTGACGGCCTGGCGGCCCTGAGACGGCCCGACGGTAGATCCATAATAACAGTAATAATACATGCAGCTGACGCAGCTCAGCAATAGTCAAAGATAATCACCATATGCATTTGTAAATATGTAACAACTGATAACATCAATGCGCATGGCCACCAGCCAATTGCAAGCATATCCGAAATAGAAGACACCCACAGGTAATCAGTCTGAAGAATCAGAGCCCTCAGCTCGCTCATCAGCCCCAGCCTCAGCGCCTCCTCCTCCTCCTCCCTCATCTTCCTTTGCCTCGTCGCCAACAGGTTCCAGAAGTGTCAAGATATCTTCAATGGCTGGGGCATCTTCTGGGACGACGTAGTGCCGTGGCAGACTCATGTGCTTCTCCCTGGCTGTCAGGGCCCCATCGGCCTCCATCCCATGCCCTAGAAAACACCAATACGCTAGGATGTGCTCACAAGCTTCCCTGCTGCCGGCCATTCGAAACGTCAAAGACCTGGTGCATTTGTAATGGTCTTCGGGATGTCCGTCAAGATAACAATGCACCGACCAGCCTGTCCTGTTCCCGCGAGGACCAACTGCATTCCAACGGAACGTCTTGAAGTATTTTGTATCTGATGCGCTCATGCGCGGGCCCATCGGGCCCAGAGGGCCCCCTCGGCGGCGCTCTCTTCCAGGCCGAGGCGGGGGCCCTGGCGGCGGGGGCGGGGGTGCAGGCCCAGCCGCGGGAAGCGGCGGTGGCGCGGGTCCGCCGCCTTCTCCACCATCACCGCCAGACCGGCTGGACGAGGACGAAGATGAGGATGAGGAGGACGAGGATGAGGAAGAAGGGCGTCCACCTTCACCTTCTGAGCCACTCCCGGCCGCCGCCTCCTCCTCCTCCTCCCCCTCCTCCTCCGCCCCCGCAGGCTCAGACTCCTCCTCGGCCTCCTCCTGAGCCTCTCCTGATTCCGAGCCTGCTTCGCCCCCTCTTGACTCAGACTCGTCTTCGAGCGCAGCAGGTTCCCGTCGCTGCCTCTTCTTCTGCGGCCCCTTATTCCCCCTCCTGATCATCTTCGGGGGGTCCGACGCGAAAGCGAACTTGAGTTTCTTTGACGCCGGAGTGGGTAGAGGCAAGCCCAAGGTCAACGCTCTGTAATGCTTCTCAGCCATCATGTGCGGCACCTCCTAGGAGGAGGAAGGTGGAAGGATGGGGGGCGAAGGGTGAAGGGCGACGAGGATGAGAAGGGCGAGCGAGGATGAGTAGCAGGAAAAGGGGGTGCCTCAGGAGAAGTCAGGAGGAGGGGGAGGTTGGAGGAGGTGAAGGAGGGAGAGGAGCAGGAGGGGGAGGAGGAGGAGGAGTAGGAGGAGGAGGAGGAGCAGGAGGAGGAGGAGGAGGAGGAGGAGGGAGAAGGAGGAGGAGGAGGAGGAGAATCGGGACGAGGAGGAGGATGGGGCCCTCTCCAATCGAGCCGCCGAGCCTGTCACCTTGTTGCCCACCGTGGGGCTGCCCCCCCTCCTCCTCTCCTCCTCCTCCTCCTCCTCCTCCTCCTCCTCCTCCATCCGCTTCCCCCTCTCGCCCTCAATCAGGTGTTAACTTCTTTGGGCATAGTGGAAGGCTGGCGTTGACTCCCCATGCAATCCTTGCCCTTGCCAGGCGCAATCAACAATGCGCGCATATACCACGTCTTAAACTTGACGTCGCTTTCAGCGACAAACCAGAATTTTGGATCACCATCTTTGTACGGTGTCTTGACATTCGGCTCCCCTGCTACATCTGCTCCTCCTGCTGATCCTAACCCCTTGCACACGCATGCCCAGCCCAATCGTGACAGCTCTTCGCATAACTCAAAGTCGCTCATGGTTAAGACATCCTTGCCAGTGCCCACATCAAATATTGATTTCGGATTGCGGAGCGAGATCCCCACTTGAAGCCGCGACGCCCCTGCAGCCGACAGTTTCCAAGAACCACGGCTGTGCCTTTCGACGAGACCCTCACCTTCGAGCAGCCCAAGCAAGTCGGAGATACAGTTCGGATCATCCACCGCCGCACTTTCAGGAATCGCAACAGGCGCGCCCCCAGGGTCGTCGGAAGTCGAACCCCTGCTGAGCAACGGAGCTAAGAACGCCCATGACTGGGCCATGCCATCAGGAAGGTTAAAGCCCGCAAAAAAATCTGCCGACCCTAATCGCGAGGGCGCGTCGGGCGTTATATCCAAGATGGCACAGAGACAACGTGCTCGATACAAACACCTGGAGTCCTGGAGTGCAAACAAAAGGCGCTGGGTGCCGGGCTGGGGCGCTGGGATTTGGGATGGGAGTACTATACTAAACAAAAATCTGACGGGCGATGCCACCAAGGCCCGGCCTGTTATCCCGGACGCTTGCCCACGCTGCTTGCTCAGGACTCAGGACAGTAGGTTTTTCTGCGAGGAACGCGGAACGCCTAAGGCTTTTGAATATTCCAATGATGTGCTCGAGAACTCCCATGACTTCATGGATTGTATGTCCGAATGTTGCAACATGTCGTAGGACAGAACTTGCAGAGTGTCAACGGACATCATGCGAGGGCTCTCTAAGAGAACTACCACTCGCTCTTGCAAGGGGTCGAACAATTTCAGGCTTAAGGGCTGGATTGTTAATGACTGGCGACGTACAGACGTGGCGAACTGTGGCAACTTTGCCCCAGCTGCATTGATATGCTCCACCGTGAAAAAAAGAACATCGCTCGCGTGCGGCACAATCCCGTCGTCACTCAGGGTGGATAGCATCTTGCAATCAGCATGATTGCCTGCGACATCCATCAACTGGCGATCGACATCGAATACGAAATTGCTCGTGTTACTACCCTCCGCGCTCAACACAACAGACAAAGACGACTGGAAGATGTCAGGCGATACCGACAACCGAGGCCCCAAACTATAAACCAGTTGCCCACCCTTCCCCGTTTCGTCTGAAATTGAAGCCGCCTGGGAGCACCAATGGGCGAAGAAAGCAACTCTCCATAATCTGTCGTAGACTGAACCACCACTCTCATACGGCAGAATACCAAGCCCTGCCCTGCCCTGTGCCACACATTAAAGCATTAATTAAACGGCCCCCCTTGCTAGCAAAGCACCCCAAGAAAACAACACAAAAGCCAAACAACCCCGAACAACTAAAAACCTCAAGTCGAGTCCAAACGCCATGAAAACAACACTGTAAACACCTTTAAGCAACTAAAAACATACCGAGCGCCAAACAACCCACGCACCAACGAAAAGAACAAACGGCCAGCAACGCCCTTGCAACATATAAGCACAATGCACTATGCCTCGGGCCTCGGGAGCCTCGGGACTTGATGTGTACAATTGCGCAATAGGCAATATTTGCTCGACTGCGCGCCAACGGCGGGGGGGCGGAAGCCCTAACCCCCCCTAGGGCCAGCGGCGGGGGGCGGGTGGGGCGGAAGCCCTAAAGCCCCATAGGGCCAGCGAGGGGGCGGAGGGGGCGGAAGCCTAACGCCCACTTGGGCCAGCGAGGGGGCGGGTAGGTCGGAAACCCTAAAGCCCCCGGGGCCAGCGGCGGGACGCGGAGGGGGCGGAAACCCTAAAGCCCCATAAGGCCAGCGAGGGGGCGGAAAGGTGCGGAAGCCCTAGAGCCCCATAGGGCCAGCGAGGGGGCGGATGCGGCGGATGGGGGCGGAAGCCCTAAAGCCCCCTAGGGCCAGCGAGGGGGCGGAGGGGGCGGAAGCCCGACAGCCCCATAGGGCCAGCGAGGGGCGGAGGCGGAGGGGGCGGAAGCCCTAAAGCCCCAAAGGGCCAGCGAGGGAGCGGAAAGGGCGGAAGCCCCAGAGCCCCATTGGGCCAGCGGCGGGGGGCGGGGGCGGGGGCGGAAGCCCTAAAGCCCCATAGGGCCGGCGGCGGGACAGAAGCCTTAAAGCCCCATAAAGCCAGCGGCGGAGTGCGGAGGAGGAGGGAAGCGGGAGCCTTAAAAAGCCCCATGGGGCCAGCGGCGGGGGGCGGAGGGGGCGAAAACCCGAAAGCCACATGGGGCCAGCGAGGGGGCGGAAAGGTGCGGGAGCCCTAAAGCCCCATAGGGCCAGCGAGGGTGCGGAAGCCCTAAAGCCCCCTAAGGAGCCTGCGAGGGGGCGGAGGGGGCGGAAGCCCGAAAACCCCATAGGGCCTGGCGGCCAGCCTAGCGGCGGGCGGATGGGGCGGAAGCCCTAAAGCCCCACAGGGCCAGCGAGGGGGCGGAAAGGGCGGAAGCCCCAAAGCCCCATTGGGCCAGCGGCGGGAGGCGGAGGGGGCGGAAGCCCTAAAGCCCCGCAGGGCCAGCGAGGGGGCGGAAGCCTTAAAAGCCCACTAGGGCCAGCGGCGGAGTGCGGAGGAGGCGGGAGCCCTAAAAAACCCCATGGGGCATGGGGCCAGCGGCGGGGGGCGGAGGGGGCGGAAGCCCTAAAGCGCCACAGGGCCAGCGGCGGAGCGCGGAGGAGGCGGAAGCCCTAACGCCCCATGGGACCTGGGCGAGGGGCGGAGGTGGCGGAAGCCCCCAAACCCCGTGTGTCCAGCGGCGGGGGGCGGAGGAGGCGGAAACCCTAAAGCCCCATAGGGCCAGCGAGGGGGCGGAAAGGGGCGGAAGCCCTAAAGCCGACTTGGGCCAGCGAGGGTGCGGAGGGGGCGGAAGCCCTAAAGCCCACTTGGGCCGGCGGCAGGGGGCGGGGGGGGCGGAAGCCCTAAAGCCCCATAGGGCCAGCGAGGGGGCGGAAGGGGCAGGCCCCAAAACCCCACAAGGCCAGCGGCGGGGCGCGGAGGGGGCGGAAGCCCTAAAGCCCCCTAGGGCCAACGAGGGGGCGGAAAGAGCAGAAGCCCTAAAGTTCCATAGGGCCAGCGGCGGGGCGCGGAGAGGGCGGAAGCCCTACAGCTCCCCAGGGCCAGCGAGGGGGCGGAAGGGGCGGAAACTTGGTAGTGGACAATTTTTCGAGTCCCTACAGACGGCCCAGGATGCGCCGCGGCCGCGGCACATCTATGGGTTGGGTGGGAAGGCGCATCTATGGGTCGAGGAGTATGCCTGGGATTTCTGCTGGGGTCTTCGCTTTTGTGGCGTAAGCCTGCCCTTCTGGGGCTCTCTGGGGCCTGCCTCGGGGACCCCCCGAGGCCCGCCGCAGTCCCGAAGAGGGCCCCCGAGCGCCCAACAGGGCCCCCCCTGAGGGTTCCGAAGGGGGGCCCAAGAGGCCACCCAAAAGAGGCATCATCGTGGATACACGCTATGCGGGGGAGACTGTCTCCTGCTGCCCTCCCTCCTGCGTCTTGCTTTCTTTTCAAATCGTTTTGAAAGTACCCTGTGACGTACCCGACCCATTTGTATCAAGGGAAACGGAGAACGGGTCCAAACTTGCAGGGGCAATCGCACTGCAGGCATCGTTGTATGTCATGTAAGCTACGGGGGACACGCGCACGTGGCATGATGCGCAGGAGAACCGTAGAAGAACGAGGGGCGAGAGCCACAGGCTCGAAGAGGATTTGGGGAGGAAGATCTAATCTGAATCTGCGTAAGGCCCCACTCCGCTGGACCCCCCAGCAGTGCAGCCCTCGAAAGTGGCGCCTGAGTGAGTGAGTGAGTTCTTCAGATTTCAGATGCCTCCACGGAGCCTCCACGATAGGCGCCATCTGCTGTTCAAGCAAGGTCCGCCAATGGCGATGGCATGGCAGCGACGGATTGGGGAAAAAACTTATTATTTGTTAGAGAAAATCTTCCGAACAAAAAAGCACAACCATGTATCATGTATCTGTTTGTCGTGCCGGTTTTCTGAGGAAACATATATGTTTTCCTATATGGAACGAGGAGGAGGAGGAGGAGGAGGAGGACGAGGAGGAGGACGAGGAGGAGGACGAGGAGGAGGAGGAGGAGGAGGAGAGGAGGAGGAGCAGGAGGAGGAGTCGGAGGAGGAGAGGAGGAGGAGCAGGAGGAGGAGGAGGAGGAGGAGGAGCCGTCGGCGCCATGGCCTTCGGTGACCTGGCCCGCTTGAGGGTTAAAACTGAGGCCTCAGTTTTAACCCTCGGAAGTGGCAACTTGAGCCACTCCCTCGGGGGGTGGAACGCGATCGTCGCTCGAACCGAGGCCGAAGACGGCCTGAGGAGGGGAACAAGGGATGAGGCTGGCCCCAAGATGGCGCAAGATGGCCTGAAGACGCCTCCAAGAGGGCTCGAAGGGGCTTCTAAGAGGGGCCCAGGAGAGCGCCACAAGAGGGCGCCAAGACAGAGCTAATTAGGATCGCCCGGAAGGCCTCTGCTGGGTGATTCCAATTGGGGCCCTCTTGCGGCCCTCTTGGGAGCCTCTTGGGGCCCGAGCTGGCCCCAAGATGGCTCAAGATGGCCTCCAGACGCTTCCAAAGAGGCCCTAAGAGGCCCCAGGGGGGCCACAACAGGGCCCCAAAACTCACCCGATTAGGATCACCCGGAAGGGCTCTGCCGGGTGATCCTAGTTGGAGTCCTTTTGGGGTTCCCTTGGGAGCCTCTCGGGGCCCAACATGGCCCCAAGATGGCCTCAAGAAGGCTCCAAGACGGTCTCCAGACGGCTCCAAGAGGGCTCCAAGACGGACCCAATTAGGATCACCCGGCAGAGGCCTTCCGGGTGATCCTAATTGGGTCCGTCTTGCAGCCCTCTTGGGGCTCTCTTGGGTGCCTCTTCAGGCCCTCTTGGAGGCGCGTGGAGGCCATCTTGGGCGCTCTTTAGGGCCAGCTTGGGCCTCAAGAGGCTCCCGAGAGGGCCCCAAGAGGCCCTCGAGAGGGCTCCCGAGAAGGCCGTGGCGGGGGCGGCGGCGAGGACGACGACGATCCCCTGCGATAAAAAAACAATTGGGAGTTTTTCGTTCTTTTCGGCTCCGGGGGCCTTCGCCGGGCCTTTCAACCGTCAACAAACGATTGAGGAGGGGGAGGAGGACTAGAGAGAACTTAGGATGCTGCTACGCACCCTCCCGTGCCATGTCCCTTCCTCGTAAGTCCATGCAAGCATTTCCTTTCACACCTAGACGCGCGCCCTTGAAGGATTGGCGCCCATTTCTCGAGGTGTTGGAGCAGGGACACTGCTACTACTACTACTACTACTACTACTACTACTACTACTACTACTACTACTACTACTACTACTACTACTACTACTACTACTACTACTACTACTACTACTACTACTACTACTACTACTACTACTACTACTACTACTACTACTACTACTACTACTACTACTACTACTACTGCTACTACTACTACTACTACTACTACTACTACTACTACTACTAGTACTACGAGTACTACTACTAGTACTACTACTACTACTACTACTACTACTACTACTACTACTACTACTACTACTACTACTACTACTACTACTGCTACCAATCGAAGCGTTCACAGGAAGAGACAAAAAGAGGGAGGAGGAGCCTCCTCCTCCGAGGAGGAGGAGGAAACGGTGAGAGGGAGGGGAGAAGGGAGGAGGAGGAGGACGACGTAGGGAAGAAGGATAGAAGGGAAAGGGGGAGGGAGGAGGAGGAGGAGGAGGAGGAGGAGGAGGACGACGTAGGATCTAGTAGTGGGCCGCGGCGCTGCTGGGCGCTACATTCGAAGAACTATGAATCGCTCTTTCCTTTCCAGTGCCTGGCGCCTTAGGAACACAAAGAACACTGCAAATGAATACACATCTTGTTGGCCGCAGAGTTTGCAATGGTTTCTGTACCGACGGCACGCAGCATGCAAGGAGTCGTAATACAATCCCAGTAGTCCTCATCGTCGTGCTGGTAAAGAACTCCATATAGAGTAGTCGATGGAGTAGTCAGAAAAAAAGTGAAAACTATCAGTCGCAGTAGCAGCAGTTGTAGTAGTATTCGTAGTAGTAGTAGTAGTAGTAGTAGTAGTAGTAGTAGTAGTAGTAGTAGTAGTATTCGTAGTAGTAGTAGTAGTAGTAGTAGTAGTAGTAGTAGTAGTAGTAATAATAGTAGTAGTAGTAGTCGTAGTAGTAGTAGTAGTAGTAGTAGTAGCAGTCGCAAACGTACTCGTGGTCGTGATAGTAGCGGTGCTAGTATGAGTCGTGGTCGTAGACGTAGTAGTCGTAGTCGGAGTAGTAGTAGTAGTGGTAGTAGTAGTAGTAGTAGTAGTAGTAGTAGTAGTAGTAGTCGTAGTCGTAGTCGTAGTCGTAGTCGTAGTCGTAGTCGTAGTAGTAGTAGTAGTAGTAGTAGTAGTAGTAGTAGTAGTAGTAGTAGTAGTAGTAGTAGGTAGTATAGTAGTAAGTAGTAGTAGTAGTAGTAGTAGTAGTAGTAGTAGTAGTAGTAGTAGTAGTAGTAGTAGTCGTAGTAGCAGTAGTAGTAGTAGTAGTAGTAGTAGTAGTAGTAGTAGTAGTAGTAGTAGTAGTAGTAGTAGTAGTAGTAGTAGTAGTAGTAGTAGTAGTAGTAGTAGTAGTAGTAGTAGTAGTAGTAGCAGTAGTAGTAGTAGTAGCAGTAGCAGTAGCAGTAGCAGTAGCAGTAGTAGTAGTAGCAGTAGTAGTAGAGGCCTCTGTGAAACGTCCCGGGACCTCTGTGGATCAGGTCAGCGCGGGTCAGCGCAAGTCAGCGCAGGTCAGCGCAGGTCCTCACAGAACGACGCAGGACGGCACGGGTCTCGGACAGGGAGGACAGGGCACAATCTGAGCTGCGCTGACCTGCGCTGACCTGCGCTGACCTGCGCTGACTGGCCTGACCTGCGCTGACCTGCGCTGACCTGCGCTGACTGGCCTGACCTGCGCTGACCCCGTTGACCTGCGCTGACCCGCGCCGGTAACATTTGAAAGCCGCTTCCGGATACAATGACAATTTTGTCCAAATGCGCCACTGACCCCCGCTCGCCCAAAGCAGACCCAAGATGCCACCTGAGAGGCTCCAAGAGCGCTCCGACAGCGCCCCAAGAGCGCCTCAAAGCCACGCGACGGAGTTGGGCAATTTTCTCGGGATCCGTTGCTGATCCGTGCTCGCCCAAAACAGGCCCAAGACACCGAATGGCGGTAGCCAAGGCTGCTGGGCGACTGGCGCCAGCCAGGACCAAGGTCCCTTAGCGGGGGGCGTGGGGCCAAGTATTATTAGGCACTGCGGGACTGGCTCCTCGTCCTCCCTCCTCCTCCTCCCCCCGTCCTTGCTTGACCGCCCCTCCGCCCAAGCCCCAGTTGGCCCGCTCCACTGCCTCCTCGATCCCCTCTCTAGCCTCTTGGGAATTCTGCCAGGACTGCGGCCTGCGGGCTAAGGCTATGCACATCATGCCCAACTAGCTCGCGATCCGTTTTTTTGGCCAGCCCGACGCAACATTCACGGCAGGATTCCTGGCGCCCGCAGCCGGCTCATCGGAACTCTGCCAGGGCTGTGGGCTAAGGCTATGCGCCGCCTACCCAACTAGCCCGCGGCCCGTTGTTTCGGCCAGACGGACTCAACAAACAGGGCTGGAGCTCCGAGGTTACAGGCCGCGCGGTGTTACGCGATGTTCAGGGAATTATGCTGGGACTGTGGGCTAAGGCTTTGCATGACGTGCCCAACTAGCTCGCGGCCCGTTGTTTCGCCCAGCCCGATTCTTGGCATCCGCAGCGCCGCGCTTGTTTAGGCTAGGTCGCTGCGCGCGCCTCCACTCCATTTTTCCTGCTCGTCTCCACGTGGGGACCTCGCCCGGCTCGTTCTCAGTCGATCCTCGTCCTCCCTCCTCCTCCCCCCCATCCTTGCTTGGCCGTCTCCGCCCAAACCCCAGTTGGCCGTTCCGCTGCCTTCGTGAGGCCCCAGCAATGCCAATCTTAGATGTTCCATCCGATGCGTTGCATCGCGGGTTGCTAGCCAGGTTTCGCCTTCGTTCGCAACCGACAGCGACAGGCGGCGACTTGGGGTTTCCCCAGGTAACGCGTGCACCCCTTTGACAATCCCTAGTTGGGTCAGGGGCTGCCCAAAGGCGGCCCTCCTCCTCGCTCCCCCTCCTCCTGCGCCTCGCTCCTCCTCGCCTCTCGTTTCTCGCTCATGGCTCCTCGTTCTTCGCTCCTCCCTTTGCTCGCTCCTCTCCTCGCGTCGCTGTATTGGCGCCGATGCGAAAGTAAAAGTCTAATCTAAGCATACGAGGAGTTGTTTTGACGAAACAGGTTGTAACCTTATTAGGCACTCGGCTCTCCGTTCGCATTGTGTTCATGATGGTCGCACTAGTAGCTTTCGCGTCAGTACGGTAGCACGATGGGACAATGCAACACTCGCAGGCTGCAATATTATTTGCACCCTGGCCCTCTTCCCCCCCCTCCATTCCCTCCAGCCCTCTTGCCGCCCTAGCCCCATCCTGGCTGGGGATCTCGCTCGACGAGCGCCCCGCCGCCCTCGCCCGAGGCCGAAGGCAGCGGCCCCTCTGCCGCCGTGGGCGGCGGCGGCGTGGCTGGGGCTGCCGGGCTGCCCGGGCTGCCCGGGCTGGGGCCTGCAGGACTCGCGGGGGGGGTCCTCCTCCCTTCCTTCCCTCTCCTCTGCCCCCCTTTTCTCCTTCCTTCCTTTCCCCTTGCCTTCTCCGAGCCTCCCTCTCCCCTCCTTCCCTCCTGTTCCTCCTTCGATGCTGGGGCCTCCAGGACTCGCGGGGGGGTCCTTCCTGCCGCAGCCTCCCGCCTCCCGCCCGCCCTCCTCCCCTCCTTCCTCCCTTTGGCATTGGGGTCCGGTCCAGCCCCCCCCTTTCCCTGAGCAGGACGGGCCGAGCCTGGCGCCAGGGCCGGCGGGCGCCGCGTGGCGCCGTCGCCAGGGGGGCCGCCGGCGGGGCCGTCGGGGCCGCTTCCTCCCCACCCACCCCGCTCAAGGCTCGGGGGCAAGAGGCAGGCGGCGGGAGGAGAGGGGGGCCGGCCAGGATTCTATGAGATTCTAGAAACGTCACAGGAGACGCAGGCGAACCCCTGGGCCCCTGGGAGAGTTAAACCTCGACGAGCCTCGATCCGTCGAACCGTCGAACCCTGGAGGCCCTGGAGAGATCAGCCCGTGATGGCTGGGGTGTTTGCCCGTGCGAATTCGGGCCAGACTCTCATGGCCCTTCTGAGGAGGCGTGCGCGGCCCTGCGAGCTGACGTGGGTCCGTCGAAGCGGTTCTGCCACAGTGGGAAGTTCCCACTGTGGCAGAACCGCTTCGACGGAACGCAACAGAAATGAAAGGAAAATGCAGGCCAGTGAAACAATGGAGGATGGGAGGAAGGGGAGGGGGGGATGGGAGGACGGGAATGCAGCGGGGTGAGGGAGAATGGGAAGGGAGGAGGGAGGGGAGGAGGGGAGGGGAGGAAGGAAGGGAGGGGAAGTGGGAAGCGTGGGAATGGAGGATGGGAAGGAAGGAGGGGGGGAAGGGAGAGGTGAGGGAAGTGAGGGAAGGAGGGGAAGCGGGGGAAGTGGTGGTGATGGTGGTGATGATGGCCCCTGACCCCATGCACCTTGCCCGGGGGTCCCCCTAGGGGGCTCCTGGATGTATTGGCCACTCCAACTTCCCATGCAAGGTAAAGGCGTCGACGTGGTACAATACTTTCACAAACTCTTTTCGTAAGTTGTCTTTGCGGCGCAGTCGGCTCCGAGCAAGTTCCTGGAGCCGCGGGTGCATGGTGAAGCCCAGTGCGTCCGCGGCGCGATGGAAATTTTTGACTTCATCAAACTTGGATGCCAATACATTAAGAAACTCTGGATCGCGCTCAGCCGCTTTCACGATCAAGGGCAGGATTGTTGAGAACGACAGATGCACAGGTCCTGCACGGGGAGATATCTTGAACACTTGTGATGCTAGGTGGTGGCGGCCCTCGATCCAGCGCTCGCTGACCTGGATGAAACGAAAGCGGGCTGCGAACTGGGTCAAATACGGGAGGTCATCCATGTTGCGTTCCCCCGATGCGAACAAGGACATCTGCTCGTGACCCCGCCCCCCCGGCTGGCACAACAGAACAGATAAACGATGATGGTGGGACGGATCTTTAGAGCTGCCTGCGAAGAGTTGGAGGCTCTGGCCCGCGCATCTGCGAGCTGTTTCGCCATCCCAATGGGCTATGCCGATAAGAATCCATGGGAGCTCGCCCCAATGAGAAAACTTCAACTGAAACCAAAATGTGAAGTGGCATTTGATACGGTTGAAATCCAATGCAATCTCCGCCCTCTCGGCCTCAGACAGCACAGCCATCGATGGATGCAGCACGAGCTGGGAATGACCCCTGGAGAACAACTCTTGCAGCAACGTGAACAGATGCCCTGCAGCACACGCTGGGGCCTGACAGCCCTGTAGCGGGCACCTGTCTTGCTTCTGCCTCCTCTCCCCGGTCGAACCATCGCGGAGCTTGATTCCCTTGAGGTGGCACGGGCAAGACTCCGCCCAGAAGGACACGTGCTCTACGATTTCCCCCGCTGTCCATATCATAGAACAATACCCCCACCACCAGTCGCTTGTGATCGCTCGGTCAACCTCGTCGATCTTTAGCCCCTTCTCCCCGCTATGCTCAGACTGACCCCGCCCGTACTTCGCCAAGGACCAGCCTGCCCTCAAGGCTGTCTTAAGGGGGAGCAGGTGGAATAAGGCAGTCAGGATGGAACCCCAGCGACCCTCATGCACTTCATAGTTGAACAGCTCGATGCTGCGTTTGAACGGGAGTAAGTAAGCCTCGGCAAAGCATTGCTCGAGCAACCGATCCTTAGCGTATCTCCGACGCAGGAGGCGGCACACGTGCTTCAACCCAATCAGCCAACGAACCCAATGACCAAGGGACTCGGGTAACTTTTCTGTCATACCATGGCATACGTGAAGGACCCCTGGAATGAAAATACTCATCGTGAAATCCAAAGTCAAAGGATCAACTGGGAATTCCCACTCACCGTCTGTCCAGCCTGTAGGCGTTCCCGGGGCAGGCCCTAGTTCAGCAAGAGGGTCCACGTCCTCCAACTCCTCCTCAATATGTCCCATTGCATCGTCGTGCCCTCCTTCCACCCTTCCTCCTCCAGCAGTCTCATCATACTGAGCACTAGCATCCAAGAAATCAAACATCGATTCAGGATCTGCTGCAGCTGCTGCGGGGACATCGTCGGGCACTTGGCGATCGGACTCGGGCCCCTCCCCGACAAAATCAAAACCACGTCGTGCACTCGGCTGCCTCTTCGACCTACCGTCTGCAAACAGACGCGCATCGGGGCCGACGAACTCCTGCACCCAAGGACCATGGACTGATGTCAAAGGCTCACAGAAACGCCATATGCCGCTCTCAGTGCCCTGGCCCCCCGTCCAGCTCACCGTGGAATTTAGCAAACGGACAGACTGGGCCCACCCCTGGGCCATCAAAAATTGACTGTGTGACAAAGCTTGCACCTTCCTCCTGAGAGAGGCCTTCCCACTCCCCACGGCGGCGGCCACCCCGGGCTGCCACTCCAGCAGCCTGGACAGCTGCTCAGCGGCCGCCTCCCCTGCCCAAGCGACGAGCACGAGCTCGGGGAGCGGCGGGGGATCTCGGGGGGGATTGAGTCATGGCCGACCAGGCCCCACAGACAGAAAGCCCCTCCCGGCCCCTCTCAGAAAGAAATCCTCCTCTTTCCTCCTCCCCTCTCCCTGAGAACACCCCCCCCTTCCCCTTCCCCCCCCCCCATCTTCGGGCCGGGCTCCTTCGTCCTGCCTCATTCCCGTGGCAACGCAAGCAACGACGGCAACGACGACGCCAAATCGCGCGAGTGAGCGCAACCCCCTGCCCTGGGCCCCTCCTCGTATTCTTCTTTGGAAGCAGTGTGAGCTTTGCATAATATTTGGGCGCACGAGAAAGCCAGATGAAGTTGGTCAGCATGGACAATTCTGAATCCATTCAGAAGCCAATCGTAGCCGTGTTGAGGACTGCTATCAATAGTTCGCCATACGCAGCAGCCACCTGGAGCGGCCAAAGCCTCGTGGTGCCGATCTGTAAGATACCTGCACCACGCTAGATGGACTGTCAACCTATGGTTGATGATGACCGACCTGCTCGGCAGCTGCCTAGTGGACAGTTGCTCATCTACCCACTTCTTCATCCCAGGGTCGTCCGTAAGAAGCCTACCACACATCTGCAACGCTGCTTTCATAGAAGCTGCCTGTTTCAGTAGTCCCGACGCCACCACCGCCGTCACTAATTGGCTGAATTTCCACGCCCTGGAGGAACGGTGCGCGCGATCTAGAAACATTTGGTCCCGGACATGCTGGAGCCAACGCACAGTTTCTGTCAACTCCTTCTCATCCTGAGGCCTCAGACCTCCAGCGCCGCGGTTGAGGCAGGACCGCAAAGTGTTCGCAACGGTGGACAGCGCGTCTGGCAACGACAGGTCTGGACCCTCATACTTCAAGCCTACACCCACCTGGCCCCTCTTCTCCGGCCCCCCCAGAAGCCGTCTAGCTAAGTGCAGCCCGACGTGACGCCAAATCTTCCGATGGACAAGCGGGATCGCGTAGCGATCGAGCTGGAGGTGGCACAGCAAGCACGCGAAGGGGAGGGGCACGGCCAGAACGAGATCGAACTGATCGAATGAGCCACCTTCTGCGAATACCTCGGCACCGTAACGAGTCTGCCACATGCCCAATACGTCCCCAACAACGCAGCGAGAACCTTGGTGCGAACACTCCGCGCTCTGAATGACACCCCTTTCGGCACTATGCAACTGCTTCAACATGGCCCGAAGCTTTGCGAAGCTATCACTGAAAGATACCCGGACTGGACTGGCAAGGGAGAACGCGTCGACCACGCGAATCAACGGACCCTTCTGCGCGAAAGGTACTACCAACAACTCCCGTCTTCCTCCTTCCTCATGGCACAACTCCGCACCCCTCCTCGCAGCTCCTGCCCCGCCCACCCTGTCCTTTTCGACATTCCCTCATTGCCTCACGCCTCAAGCACGCTAGGGGGGGGGGGAGAGAGAGAGAGAGAGAGAGAGAGAGAGAGAGAGAGAGAGAGAGAGAGAGAGAGAGAGAGAGAGAGAGAGAGAGAAAGGCCCACCCCCTCAACAAAAAAATAAAGAAAGAGAAAGAGAGAGAGCGAGAGAGAGGCCCCCACGACAATGCTGTCGGACACCGTCCAACAGCGGCAGTGGACGTCCGAAAGCCCTCCCCGGGCTATGCTTCTACTCCCCTCCTGCCGCACTGCCTCCTTCCTCCTCCTCCTTCTCTCTTCCTCCTCCCTCCTCCTCCCCCAACTACTCCTCCTCCTCCTGGGAACTCCCCCCTCCTACTCCTTCTCGCCCTCCCCCCTCCTAGCACCTGCCCCGCCCGCCCTGCCCTCTCGACATTCCCTCATTGCCTCACGCCTCAAGCACGCTAGGGGGAAAAAGGAGAGAGAGAGAGAGAGAGAGAGAGAGAGAGAGAGAGAGAGAGAGAGAGAGAGAGAGAGAGAGAGAGAGAGAGAGAGAGAGAGAGAGAGAGGGAGAGAGAGAGAGAGAAATCGAGAGAGCCCCCACGGCAATGCTGTCGGATACCATCCAACGATGGCAGTGGACGTCCGACAGCCCCCCCAGGCTGTGCTTCTACCCCCTTGCTGCCTCCTCCTTTTTCTCCTCCTCTTCCTCCTCCTCCTCCTTTTCCAACTACTCCTCATCCTCCTGGGGGCTCCTCCCTCCGACTCCCCCCTCCTCCTTCTCGCCCTCTTCCTCCTCCTCCGGCCTCCGCATCCTCCTCCTCCAATGCAACGGGGGCGAAAGCAGGCCAGAGGCGCATGGATGAATGCTAAGGGGTTCTGGTCATATTTGGACACCATGTAGTAATCTCTGATGAGCTGGTGCTCAGGATGCAACACAGTGCAGATATTCTCATATCCTTCTAATGTCCAAACGACTGCTCCAATGATTTTGTGACACACTTGGTTCATGGCAAATTCATTCCCGAACGTAGTCCCCCATTTTCTTGCAGATTGATCCGGCAGCAAGTCCTGCACACCACAACTGCCAGAGAGAGCCCCGCCCTGGATCAAGGAGTGCAACCTCTGGCGTACCAGAGGGCCACGCAGAGAATCTGGAGGCAGCTTGCCTCGCCCATGGCCGAGAGCGGTCTCAGGCCCCGCCGCGTACACCCAGGTGGCGAGCATGGCTCGTCTGGGAAAAGCTGCAGGCGACAAAAACGCGCGGGCAGCCTGTGACCCGTGACCCGGCCGTCCCCTCGTCGCGCTCTCTCGGTCTCTCGTGGCCCGTGGCGCCCATGATCCTTGACGGCCCAGAGTCTGTCATCACCCCCCTCTACCTCCCCGCCGAACTGGAGGCCCTCATTACCCTCAGCTCTTCCTCCTCCTCCTCCTCCTTCTCCTCTTCCTCCTCCTCCTCCTCGTCCTCCTCGTCCTCCTCCTCCTCCTCCTCCTCCTGCTCCTCCTCCTCCTCCCCCTCCTCCCCCTCTTCCCCCTCCTCTTCCTCCTCCACCTCTTCCTCCTCCTCCTCCTCAGTTCCTCAGCTCCTCCTCCTCCTCCTCCTCCTCCTCCTCCTCCTCCTCCTCCTGCACCTCCTTCTCAGCTCCTCCTCTTCCTCGACGGCCTCAGCTCCTCTGGATTCTCCTCTCGTTCCTCATCCTGCTTGTCATGCTCCTCCTGCTGCTGCTGCTGCTGCTCCACCTTCTCCTCCTCCTCCTCCTCCTCCTCCTCCTCCGCCTTTTCCTCCTCCTCCTCCTCCCTACTCCTGCCCTGCCCTGCGGCGGCCCTCGGGCCCTCCCTGCCCCCCTGCATCGCGGGGGGCGGCGGCGTTGGCGTCGGTGGCGTAGCGTGGGCGCCGGGGGCGCCGGGGCGCAGGGAGCGCCGCGCGCGGCGCGGGGCGCGCGCGCATCGCGCGGGAGGGGGACGCCGAGGGGGCCCTCCGAGAGGGTCGACGGTCGACGGTCGAGGGTCCACAGAGCGAGCGAGGGGCTCGGAGGGGCCAGAGGGGGAAGAGGGGGATGGAATGAGGAGGGGGGTCAAGGAGAAAGAGGGAAGGAGAAGAAAGGTGTGCGTCGGTCGGCTCTGGGATAGAATTAGAAGGGGGGTGAAGGAGCGAATCGTGAGTCTCGGGAACTTGAGTCGACTGCTGGTTGGGTTCAGAATAAAGCGAATCTCGAGTTTGAATTTCTAAATTGCTGGTTTGGTTCAGAATCAAGCGAATCTCGAGTTTGAATTTCTAGACCACTGCTTCTGTGCAGAATCCAGCAAATCTCGAGTTTGAATTTCTAAACTGCTGGTTTGGTTCAGAACTGTACCGAGACGGACCGAACAGGACAGTAACAGGTTTTAGTAGACACACCCCAGACACAACCCAGACACGAACCCCAGACAGACCCCAGACAGACCCCAGACACACCCCAGACACCCAGACACACCCCAGACACACCCCAGACGCACCCCAGACACACCAAATACACACCTCAGACACACCCCAACACACACCCAAGACACACCCCAGACACACCCAGACATACCTCAGACACACCCCAATTACACCCAGTCGCACCAAACATGACGACGTCAAAGACTCCGATGGCTTTGGATCCGACGATGCCGTCTGCAAATCCGGCGACTCTGACTCTGATTCCGACGATGACGATTCCGACTCCGACTCCGGCAACAAGATCGACCGGGAAGCCGTTGATCTACTTGCTGCGTCCCTTCTCATTATACCCTTCCGCCATTACGTTCCCTAGGTGTCCTACTTCGGGTCCAAACTCTCCCGCCAGCGACTTAACACAGGGGGCAGTCTCCTCTGGGGGACGATGATCCTAGATTTAGCATTGGCGGTGATATTTCGGCAACCCAGGAAGCCCGAATGTTACACCGGGCACCGAGATCAGGATCATCTTCCCTCGGTAGAGGCGCACCGCCGAAACTTGTGTCGGTGCCAACCTCTTGGCATCCAAGAGGAAGGACTTAGAGCTAGGATCGGGACGAACGAGCGAAGCCTCGCCCTCGTCCTCCTCTTCCTCCTTCTTTCTTGTCCTACCCTTCCTCCTCATGCTGCTTCTACTACTCCTCCTCATCCTCGGTGTAGTCCCCCACGTGTGGCAACCTCGGTGTACAACTGAAGCACATGAGAACTACTCCCCCTCCTCCTCTGAAATGGTCCGGAAGATCTCCCACCCGCTCCGCGTGCTGCGTGCTACACACAGGCTGTCAAACATGTTTGTTTCAGTACAGCTTGCTGTGCAATATTATTTATGTGTTTCAACATGCTGCTCCCTCTGCAACATGGCTCATGTTCGGATCGGCGCTTTGCTCCCGTCGTTCAGAATGGCGCCCGCGCCACAGCGCGGGCCAGCTTGCTGAATCCGAGTCTTGATTCATTGTGTTCACTTCCCCGCTGCACCTCCTCCGCGTTCCCCTGGTCATCCAGTTCCTCTCGCTTCCACACCAGCTCCTGCTGTTCGCCTCGCCCAAGCGCGGGCCACTTTTCTGAATCCGAGTCTTTCTTGGTCGTTGTCGCCTTTTACTTCTCGCGTGGTCCTGTTTACTTCTCGCGTGGTCCTGGTCCTCCTGTTTGTTCCTTCCGCTCTTTCCACTCCGGTTCCTGCTGCTGCTGTTCATCTCGCCCAAGCGCGGGCCACGTTGTCGCCCCCTCATTTCCCCTCCTCCGCCTGCCTTCCCCTGGTCCTCATTGTCCATTCTATCATTCCGCTTCAGCTTCTGCTGTTGCTGACCGAACTCTTCATGTTCCTCCTCTCCCGCGCATCCTCCTGCTCACCCGCCACCTCCTGTGCACGCAGCTCCCCTTGTTCCGATTGCGCATAACACGAAATGGTCTGCCTGCGGGAGTCGCAGGTCGGCTATGACACGTGTCCGCAGATGGAAAACAATAGCGCCGTGGGAAAGGATGGGAGGTAAGGCTAGGATGTCAGATGAGGCGCGAGCGTACCTAGCCTGCCCCTTCCCCCCTCTCCCCTTTCGGGGCGGACGACCTCACGCAACGGTGTAGCGAAGAAATTGTCTGGCGGTGCAGCCGAAGCCTGCTGCGAGCAGCTGATTTCGTGACCCCCCCGCCTCCCCGTCCCCGTCCGCCCCGAGAGGTGGGGAAGGGCTCCCCCTCTCCCCTTCGCGTTCTACCCTTCCCTCCACGAAGCCCGCTGGGGCAAACCCACGCCCCCCTCAAGGAGCGTCGGCACCGAGCCTGCCTGGTCCGACGGCTCGTGCAGACTGGGGCCGAACCCGCATCGACCACGAAGCGCGCGTTGCGAACAGCTCGAGCCTGGAAGCGAGTTCGGGGGTTGGTGAAGTGGCCCTCGCCCAACAGGTCCCCAGCTTTTCGAGCAAGCTCAGACGCGCAGTGTGCGTAGCCCGCCATCGCCCAGACGTCCGATTCCCCCGTGCATGTTTCGGCTTCGTGCGTGCTTTTTGTTTCCAAGGTGGCCCAGTATGCACACGTGCAAGCGATGCCAAGGTAGTGACTGGTGGGCTTGCACCGCCAGTCGAAATGATAACTACGATTCGAAAAAGATACTCTGATCAGCACGGGCCAGACTGCCTTAACGCCGAGGGCTCGCCCCCAGGATTTCCCCCGCGCCGCGGCTGGGAGCCTCCTGCGCGCTGAGATGCGGCCTCACACACTGCACTTTCAGAAACTGTCCTGCTCACCCCCATCCCCACCCTCCCGTCACGCCTTTCCTCCCCCTCCCCACACTCCTTCTTCTCGAAACTTCAATTCCACGGGAGACGCTCTCAGGCACGGCACTTCTCGCCGCCGCGTCCGGAGACCATCGCGCTTTCGCGGTCTCACCTCGCGACGACACAGCTTGCCGCTGCCCGGCACGGGATGCTGCAGCTCCTCTGCACTATATACCCAGTGCTGGGGGGCGGGGGGGAACGCAGCGCGCGCGGCGCGCCGCGCGCCTGGTCTCGGGAGTCTGTGTCGCCCACCGCCTGTCTCAGCGCCTTGAGCTCGGCCAGCTGCGCGTCGCGCGTCAGCCGGAGCTTGTCCACCTGGCCGCCGCACCCCTGGGAATAGAAGAAGGTTCCAGCGCCCGCCCGCTCTGCCAATGTGATGCTCAGTCCTCCCGCCGTCCTCTCCCCTGTGTTCCTCCCCTCGCCTCCTCTCCCCTTCTCCCTCTTCCACCTTGAAATGACGCATAACAATGGGAGGACAAAGACAGAGCGCCAATCACCGACACTGGGGGGGTGGGCCAACAGATGATCGGATGAATGAGCTGTGCGCGCGGGCTATGCACCGTGTGGATGCGCATGCTTAAACTGGGAATTAAGTATTGCTGAAGATATCAGACGAAACTACTTGCACCTCGTTGTTCGCACTGCACTCCGATGACAGTGCTAGCGGCCCGTGTTTGAGAGCGGTCCACACAGCTGTGGTGCGGGGCTGGCGCGGGGACGATGAACGAACAAGAAAGGGGCAACGTTGACGGGACCGGCATCTCACACATGGGGGAGCAAGGAGGAGGGGAGAGGCCAAGGTAGGTGCGCCTGCACTTTATCTGACATCCTGCGCATCACACTGCGCTGAATCCTGTTTTACGCGCTGTCTGGGTGTCCTCGATGACCTTGACTCCCAAAGTCACCCCCTCGTGTGATGCGGAATCACTAAGGAAGTGCTTCGTGCATTGGGCGAGGAGTTCGTAGGGGATTAGCAGGAGGATGATCAGGAGAACGAGGAAGGAGGAGCAGCAGCAGCAGCAGGAGCAAGGGGAGTTCGAGCAGCAGGAAGAGCAGGGGAAGGCGGAGGATGGAAGAGGATGGGGACGGCAACGACGAGGATACAGACATGAGACCCGCGCTGAGGCAATAGAGCAAAGTTTAAACCACAGGACCAAATCGCCGATCCTGGCGCCGATTCTGACATGCATCCAGCCACTGCTGCAGCAGGAGAGGCACCGTTGACGGACCAGGAACGGATTGGTTAAGAAACCGCAACAGACAAAACAGTGTGTGAAACCATGCTTAGGAGCAACGTAAAGCACATCAATGGAGAGAAGATAACGATATTCACATGTTGTCAGTGTGAAGGGAGGAGAAGAAGGGGAAGGCTAGATGGGAGCAGGCCCCAGGTGATCCAAGTCTGTATCCTCCACAGCCCTCGATCAAAGCGCCGAGGTCATGCAGCCAACAAAAAAAGAGCAGGGTCCTCTGCCATTGTGTTGATCAAACACGTCCCCGATTGAGGGGCACCGCCGTCTTGAAAATGGAAGGGGAAGAGGCGGATCTCCTGCAGCATTGTTGTTGTCGATGCTGAGGGGGAGTGCTGCGCGAAACACGCGGCACTGGGAGGGATATGGGCAACGTCGCAGCGGATCGGCCCAGCCCTCGGTCGGGCCAATGTAACGAGGTGAGGGGGTGAGCGAGCATGCCGGGTGGCTGGCATCGCACGGCAACGCACCTCGTCGCTCAGCTCCTTCAACTGCCGTTGCTCCTCCTGCCTCTCCTGAGGGGGGGCCAGACAGGAGGCGGACAATGGGGAGGCAGAGAAAGAGAGAGAGAGAGAGAGACCGAACAGAAAGAGAGAGAGAGAGACGTGCATACTTATAGTTTGATATATACACGTATTCAAGTGTATATCAATGATTGTGCCCCCCGACACCCATTATTACCAGCTTTCGTTTACGACGGTTGCTGTCTTCCTTTCCTCCTCCTCATTATCCTCGTCGTTGTTCAGGTTGCTCTCTCTCTCTCTCTATTGATGTTGTTGTTTTTCTCTCTCTCTCGTTCCTGTCTTGTTTGTTTTGTTTCTCTCTCTCTCTCTCTTTCAATATATCTCCCTCTCTCTCGCTCTTAGTTGATGTGTTTGATCTCTCTCTCTCTCACTTTCTCTCTCTCTCTCTCGTTCTCGTGTTTTGTTTCCGGCTTTCCCGTTTTGTTGGTTTCTCTCTCTCTCTCTTTCTCTCTCTCTCTCTCTTTCCCTCTCTCTCTCTCTCTCTCTCTCCAAGACACCTTACATTATCCCTGTGAGAGCACACGTTTTGCGATGTTAGGGGTGCGAAACCCTTGTGTTGTTTATGCGGATGTTTGGGATTTCTGGGATGGGAGAAGAGGGAACCATGTATTTTCATGTGGATGCGTTGGATTTGGGGGATGTCTTCTCCCAAAACGAAATTCAAACCCAGGAGCCCTCCAAGGAGCTCCGATCCTCAGAGTCCCAAGCATGTCCCAAACCCCAATTGAAATACACATGGCTTCCTCACTGCTCATCCCAGAAATCCCAAACATCCAAATGAAAACACAACATTTGCGATTTCAGGGATGCGGGAACCACGTGCTTCCATTCAGACTTGCTGGAATCTCTGGGATGAAAAGTCCGGAAACTGTGTGTGTGTCAAATTGGGTTGCTGGGTTTGGGGGGATTCTGTGGGTCGGAACTTCTGGGAGGGCTCCTGGGTGTTTTTTGCCAGAGGGAAGGCAATCAAACACAAAAGACAAAACATCCGAATGCAGACAGATGGCTCCCACTTCTCATCCGAGAAATCCCTCAAAACGCCTTGTGATAACACAAAGGTTCCACACCCCTGACGTTCAAACCGGGTGTGTTCAAAGGGACTGTGTTGGGTGTCTGGGAAGGAGAGGGAGTCAGAACGAAAGAGAGAGACAGGGAGAGAGAGGCAGATCCCAGATCCAGATTATTCGAATTAGACTCCCATTGAATTGAAATCCAATTGGGATGTAGAAGATCCCCATTCCAGCTGACTCAGATTGGATCCCTATGGAAGTCTATTTAGAATCATCTTGACATGGTGTAAATCCTGGATCCAGCAGATTCTAAATAGATTCCGATTGAAGTCTAATTGGAATGAAAATAGGATTGGGCACATCACATATCCAGCTGATATTCCATTTGAAACGCAGTTAGGCACTTTTTTGAGGTGGAGCGGATCCCAGATCCAGCAGATTCCAATCGATTCCTGAAGAAAGCGAATTCGACTCTAACTGGAATTGCGCAGATTCCAGATCCAGCTGATTCCATTTAGAACGGGGCAAGCCCTACATCCACCTGATTCCAATTCGATTCCGATTGGGATCTAGATATAATATAATTGGAAATGAACAGGGCCCAGGACCACAGCCAGTTCAGCATTCCGGTTAGAATCTATTGAAATGGAGCAGGCTCAAAATCCATCTGATTCTAATTCGGTCCGTGTTGGGATCTAGTTATACTTTACTTGGAACTGGGGCAAGCCCCAGATCCAGCTCAGTCCAATTGAGACTCCGATTGGAATCGAATTAGAACCTACTTCGATTGAGCAGGTCCGGCTGATTCTAGATCGATTCCGATTGACATCGAATTCCTATCCTGTTGGAATTGAGCAGATCCCAGACCCAACTGATTCCTAGTGGGGCATTGTTAGAATCGGTCCCAGATCCAGCTGCTTCCAGTTGGATTCCGACTTGGAATCGAATCCGAATATAGTTCGACTTGGGCAAATCCCAAGCCCAACTGACTCAAAATCGACTCCGTGAATGTTTTTATACGAAACTGATTGCAGTGGAGCGGATCCCACATCAAGCTGATTCCAATTTGATTCCTTTTGGAAACTCATTAGAGTCTAATTAGACGCCGCAGATCCCAGGTCCAACTGATTCCAATATGATGCCAGCACGATGTAACAGCTGATACATGGCACATGAGAAAGATGGATGGGCAGGCATGGATGAAACGAAGGCGAACGATCAGCAAGAGCACGAATGAAGAGCTCAACGACCAGTGCATAATGAATGCGTTACGGGGGGGCGCACCCATAGATATATGTACACTCCTACATAAATATACGTATACATATATATATATGCATGTACGTATGAATGTATGTATGTATGTATGTATGCATGCATGCATGTATGTATGTATGTATGTATGTATGTATGTATGTATGTATGTATGTATGTGTGTGCATGTGTATGTGTATGTGTATGTGTATGTGTATGTGTATGTGTATGTGTATGTGTATGTGTATGTATGTATGTATGTATGTATGTATGTGTGGGCGTGTGCTCGCCGACCCCCCATCCACACAAGCACCCCAAGACTGCGGATAGAGGGGTGCTGAAGCAGGAGTCGCAGCACGAACTATAGTTGGAGCTGTGCCAGTGGCTGCTGTAGGCACAGTTGTAAGGGCTGTAGAGCGAGCTATGGAACGAGCTGTTGTAGGGGTTGTAGTCGGAGCTGTGGTGAGAGCTGGAGAAAAGTAGTTGTGAGAGTTGCACTAGTGGCTGTCGCAGGAGCAGTAACACAGACTGATATAGGAGCTTACAGAGAAGCGGTGGTAAGAGCTGTAGTGAGAACTGTACGACTGGCTGTAGCAGAGGGTGTTACGGGAACGGGAGCTGTAACAGTGGCTGTGTCAAGGAATTGTAGTTGGAGCTGCATCACGATATGCAATATTCGTTGTAGTAGCTCCAGGTGCTGTAATGGAAACTGCAGTAGCAGCTGCAGCAACAACCTCAAGAACTGCAATTGAAAAAAACACGTAGGACATGTTTGGGATCTGTACGGCTCGATGCAATTTTACTCGCAGCAGGAGCGTTCGTAATGTCATGACAGAAGGCTGCACTACTGGCCGCGCTGGGCATAAAACTACGAGGTGCGCCAGGAGTTGTAGTAGGATGTGTACCATCAACTGTAGAAGGACCTCTATCAAGAGTTATAGTGCGAACTGCACTCGTGGCTGTAGTAGGAACTGTTGAGGGAGCTGTATGAACGAGCTGTAGTACGGCGTGCTACAATAACTTCAGTAGGTGGCATCATCTAGCGTTGTAGTGACAACTGTACTACTGCCTGCAGTTTGGGTTGTTACAGGAGCTCTATCAGTGGATGTGACAAGGAACACATGTAATTCGAGTTGTACTAGGGTGTGCTGTGCACGTTGCTGTAGGAACTGCAGCGAGAGCTGTACCACTGGCAGTATATCAGGGGCTGCAGTGCCAAATCATTGGGAGCTGCGTCTGGATTTACACTGCTGCTTGTAGTAATGCACATGGCAACTGTACTACTGGCTGCACTGAACAATACAATAATAATTTGGCCACGATATGTCGCAGGATGGCAACATAAGCGGTCTCCAGGCTCCAGCAGGAATGGCAGCGAGACTTGGTATAACCTGTAGTATAGCTGGATTGGACATGGCAGTTGAAACTGTATGCATTCCTATGGGGAGGCACATCTGGCTGTGTCAAAAGCTGTACTAGGAGCTCTTCTGTGACCTGAACTACGGGTATATCGCAGCTTGGGGGGGATCGCAGTGGAACGGATAGCTCCTGACAGCAAAATCGGCTTCGGTTTCGTGTTCGTGTCGTGCGTGCGGGCGAGGCGAAACTGGGCGGGCGCGCGAAAAGAATGATCCCGCCGCTAGGGCGATCCGGATGCAAAAACCGGCCATCCGGAGGGCGCGCGGTGGCTGGGGGTGTCCCGCCGTGGTATCTCGCGGTGTCCGGATGGTGTCCTGCGGTGTCTCGCCGTGGGCGCGCAAGAGGAATGATATCGCCGTCGCTAGGGCGATCCCGATGCAAAAAGTCCGGCCCTCCGGCGGGCGCGCGGTGAGTGTGGGTCTCCCGCTGTGGTGTCTCGCGTTGTCCCGATGGTGTCCCGCGGTGTCCCGCTGTGGTGTCCCGATGGTGTCTCGGGGTGTACCGTGGTGTCTCGTGGTGTCCCGCTGTGTCCCAGTGGTGTCCCGCGGTGTCCCGTGGTGGCCCAGGCTATGCCTGTGCCCAGTGGTTATCCCAGGCTCTGAGGCTATGCCAGGCTCTTTCGGATTATGAGTCGTGTTGGCAGCGACTCGGTGACCGAGTCCGAGGGGCTCGGGTTACTGGCGCGCAGTTCACTTGGAGGCGATGGCGCGAGTGCAGACAACCATCACATCGCCATCAACACTCGACCACCACTGTCGGCAAGTACCCACCACAGCGCGATGGCGGTGGTACTGGTTTGACTCGATGGTGCCTCGATGGTCTCCCGATCGTGACTCAGCGCCACTCAGTGTGAGATCGTTCATGGGGTCTACAGTCGGGGCGTTGACCTAAGGAACCCTAAATAAAGAACGAGGCCCCTTTTTTCCATAAGTTAGACTTCGATTCCCGATCGAAAATATAAGGAAAACCTGAGGTAAGCTACGAAACACTTAAGGAACGAGGAGCCCCTCCCCAACGAAAGGGTTCCTTCTTCAGGGCCCCGACTGTATCGCTGGATCCATCGACACGAAGACTGGGTCGACAGTGAGATCGATCGAGTGAGATCGATAGCGGGGCCGACATTGGCATCACACCGCGGCGCAGCACCGTCTGCACGCGTCGTCGCCAACTCGAGAGCGCGCCACCAGCATCGTCATCATCACACCCGTCGCAGTTGCCAGCAAGCGGCAAACACACACACACACACACACAAAAAAACACACACTGTGGGACAAAAACACACACTGTGGGAAAAAAACACACTGTGGGAATAAAAACACACACGTGGGGAAAAAACACACACGTGTGTTTTTGTTCACCTCCCCAAAACCTCCTTATCACCCGAAGGGTGGTCGCGTAAGTATCCGGAACCAGACGAGGAGCTGTCGTAGGAGCTGGTGTAAGACGTGCAAGGGCAACCGAATGATGGAAAGGGGGCTGTACTACTCTGGCTGCAAAACGGTGTTACGGAAGCGGGAACTGTAATAGTGGCTGTGTCAAGAAACTGAATTACGAGCTGCATTACGATATGCAGTATTCGCTGCAGTAGATGCTGCAAGCTGTAATCATGGCTGCAGTAAGAACTCTACTATGGGTTGCAATAAGAAACTCATGAAGAGATGGTTTGGGATCTGTACGACTCCTTGCATTTGAACTAATAGTAGGAGCGTTGGTGATGTCGTGACAGAAGGCTGTACTACTGGCTGCACCGAGAATTACACTACGATCTACACCAGGATACGTAGCAGGATGTCCACCATATACTGCAGTAGAACTCTGGATCAAGAATTGTAGTGGGAGCTGGACTCGTGGCTCTCATAAGAGATCTATGACGAGCTGCTGTCCTAGGCGGAGCGTTCGTGAAAGCTGTAAAAGGAGCTTTGATTGAAAGGATTGTACTACAAGCTGTAGAAGGAGCTGTCGTACGGCTGGCTACAAGAACTGCAGTCTGTGACAACAGTTAGCTGCCTGCAGCACGAGCTGTAACTGGAGCTGTACTGGTTGCAACAAGGAGCCCGACATAATGGCCATCAAACGCTTTATGTTCCAAAATTCCTAAGGCTCCCGAAGGCGAATGGCCACCAAACGCTGCCATGTTCTAAGGTTTCAAAGAATTCGAAGATCCCCGCAACCATCCCCAAGCGGGGCTACAGATCGGCGGAAATGTTAGAAGTATTCGGAATAGTGTAAACTAGCAGTGGTTGGTCGTTAACTTACGAATGCCTCCAACACCGTATAAAATAATGATGGTTGATCAATTCTCTACAGAAGTGCTTAACGGGTCGTAGTGCTGGGAAGCTACGACAGCACGATGCGGCGTAGCGAATCCGTACGATGTTCAGTTCTAGCGAGCGGAGTATATGAGGATAGAGAAAACATCAAGACTAGATAGAGTCCTGGCGCTAAACAATTGGTTTGGGGTTGGACATGGGGGGGAGGGGCGACCATAAATATGTGAAAATACAACATATACATATACATATACCTATACGAGGACCCTTCGGGAACTAAGGACGTCGTGAAGGGGGAGAGGGGGGGAACCAACATCTGACTCAATCGATCTCACTATCGATCTCACTCAACGGGACACCACAAGACACCACGGGACACTACGGAACACCACATCGATCTCACGATCGATCTCACTCAACGGGACACCACAAGACACTTCGGGACACCACGGGACACCACATCGATCTCACCATCGGTCTCACTATCGATCTCACTATCGATCTCACTCAAAGGGAAACCACGGGACACCACGGGACACCTGTCAATCTCACTATCGATCTCACTATCGATCTCACTTTTGGGGACACCACGGGACACCTCGGGGCGCCACATCGATCAATATCGATCTCACTATCGATCTCACTATCGGTCTCACTCAACGGGACACCACGGGACACCACGGGACACCTGCCGATCTCACTATCGATCTCACTTTTTGGGACACCACGGGACACCTCGGGACACCATATCGATCTCAATATCGATCTCATTATTGATCTCAATGTCGATCTCACTATCAATCCCACTCAACAGGACACCACGGGACACCCGGGGACACCGCGGGACACCGCTGGGGCCACCGCCAGACGGGCGGAGGGACGGACGGCCAGGGGAGCAACATTTGCCTTGACTTCGCCCCAGCAGCGGCGGACACCACTGGACACCGCGGGACACCACTACAGTCGGGGCGTTGACCTAAGGAACCCTAAATAAGGAACGAGGCCCCTTTTTCCATAAGTTGAACTTTGATTTCCGATCAAAAACATAAGGAAAACCTGAGGCGAGCTGTGAAACACGTAAGGAACACGGAGCCCCTCCCCAACGAAAAGAGTTCCTTCTTCAGGGCCCCGACTGTAGGGCCACCGCCGGACGGACGGACGGGGGAGCAGCATTTGTCTTGACTTCGCCCTAGCAGCAGCAGGTTCATTCCTCTCGCGCGCCCGCGCAGCTTCGCCTCGCCCGCACGCGCGACACGAACGAAACGAAACGATTGTTTGGCCGGGGTCTCCGTTCCACTGCGATAACATCACCCCCCAACCTCCGATACATTTCTAGATCGAAAGATAGCAGATAAGCGGCAAGTGCGTGACCAGGCTCCGACACAAAACAATGCGAGGCCACCGATAGGGTTGCCACAGCTTGCGACTAGACGAAATGTTGAGAAACAACCTGACGGTCATGCAAAACACGAAGGTTCTGGCAAGGTAGGGAAGCTACATTCGGCATCAACTTAAGCACAATGCCAATCTAACAACTATGCTCAACATCACTAAATCCAAACAACTATTCGTGTGTTTTACACTGCCGAACAACTACGCAGAACACAATAACAAACCGAACACCTATGCCTATGGGCACCGCTAGTGACATACATAATGCGCTTAAGAACTTCCGTATAACATATTGACTCTCACGTGTGGCGTTACCCTCACGTCGCGAGCTGCGTAAGGGAAAAGTCTGAAATTGAGGATGTCCTGAGAGAAACAGCTAGACAACTCGAGGACGACGCGGTAATCGCTGGAGCAACTCCCTCGGAGGGGTACATGTGAGCATACATGTGCGTATATATAGACATACCTTATACACTACCATGCGTACTTTTTCGAAAGTGCAATTCAGAGGCAAATGTTGGAGGTCCCGTCAGCGATACTTCTGGCCGTTTCGCTTGGGAGATGCTCATAATTCTGAAAACTGGACGCACCCGTCACGGGGATCGCGACGCCAAGATGTAACAATCAAGGGTTCCGAACATTCAAACAAACAGCCTTCATTCCATGCTGTTACACACGATTTTTTTCGGAAAACCATCATGTTGTTGTTTTTTTTCCGTGTGGTTCCCTCGATAGACATTCGGCGTTGCATCAGAAAGCCTACAAACACTCAGTGTAAACCTGTGCCCCTGGTATTAACCCCCCTGGGGATATTAAAGTCCGGGGCAATGGAGGATAATAACAGTTTTCCCAGCAGATCGCAGCAGCAGAATGACGTTGTGGATGATGATGGTGATGATGATGAGGCTGGTATCGTTGCCCAGAGTCTGCGCATCCTGAAGCTGGCCCGCGCTCTCGAGAACCGAGAAGTAGTAGTAGTAGTAGTAGTAGTAGTAGTAGTAGTAGTCGTAGTAGTAGTAGTAGTAGTAGTAGTAGTAGTAGTACGAGTACTAGTAGTAGCAGTAGTAGTAGTAGTAGTAGAAGTAGTAGTAGTAGTAGTAGTAGTAGTAGTAGTAGTAGTTGTAGTAGTAGTAGTAGTAGTAGAAGTAGTAGGCGTCGTAGTAGTTGTAGTAGTAATTCTAATAGTAGTAGTAGTAGTAGTAATAGTAGTAGTAGTAGTCGTAGTAGTAGTAGTAGTAATAATAGTAGTAGTAGTAGTAGTAGTCGTAGTAGTAGTAGTAGTAGTAGTAGTAGTAGTGGTCACCGTAGTCGTAGTCGTAGTAATAGCCGTAGTCGTAGTAAAAATAATCGTAGTAGTAGTCGTCGTCGTAGTCGTAGTAGCGGTAGTAGACCCCCATTGGCATGCCACACGTTCTTGATGACATTGCTAGTCAGTACCAGAAGATAACAACTTCGACTTGCAACTCCCCCCCGCGATAAAAAACTCGGCCTCCCCGCTCCTTTCCCCCGGCCAAATCTGTCTTGGCCGGGGATAATAAACTGTCAGTGCTTAAGGGGATTTACTTGATTAGCAGGGGGCCGCGGTTCACTCGGTGACGTTGCGCCGAACTCTAGAACATAATTGATAAGTCATTTTGTTCCCAGTGTGGTTCTGCAACCATGCTCTAACCTGCAGCACAGGTTAAGCATAGTTCCTCATGCCACAAGGATGCTTCTCAACAGTTCGTCTCATTGGAAACCGCATGGGTCCCCCGCCCACCTATATTGTGTACGAGCCTAGGCATGCGCGCGCTACTTACATGCGTACGTATCTCTCCCACACACACACAGAAAATACATCTATGTGTGTACACTGATATCTACACATGTGTGGGTACATGTGCACGTGAATATTCAAGCAGGGTGCCAACAACCCTGGGCGAGGCGAATCCAATGGGCCTTGGGCCTGAGCCCTGCAAAAAAACAAGCGAGAACGCCCGAATCTCGCAGGGCCAAGAGACAGGAAGGCCCGCATTCGACCCTCTACGCGGGCCTCTGCCCGCAGGCGCGGCGGCTACGGCAGCCAGCGGCGTGAGCCGCGCGCGCTCGCAGAGGCTGGATCCTTGGCCTGCTCGGCCAGCTGGCTCTGCAGTTCCTCCGCCGCGCTACCGCCGCGGGGGGGGGGGGGCCTGAGCGTTCACGTCTCTCTCCCTCCCTGGGGGTTCACCGGCGTCTCTGTTCTCGAACATTGACTACCTACCAGACCACCCCAACCCAACCCGAAGACCCGCATTTCGGGTTTGGGGGGGGGGGAAGGGTTCCATATGTGCTTTTTCAATGTTCCCCGACCCCCCCCCCACTGGAATTAGAAGGCAAATTGAGGCCGTCGGGTTGGGTTGCGGTGGTTTGATGGGTGGTGAACCATGGCGGCGGACGAATGCACTGGGCTTTTGCCCGCAGAGTCGTGCATGCAATGCGGTGATGGACTGATCTGACAAATGCTGGCTGCGGCTAGGTCATCGATCGACCGATGCTCAGAAACCACTGTGGATCAAGAAGAAACCTGGCTCCGGCTTCTCTCTTCTCCTTACTTTTTTGACAATGTGACTAATTTGCAGCCATGATCGCGCGAGCGTGGATGCGAGACTCCAATTTAGACCTGGTGTCGGATCCATTACACATGGTATGTAGTAGCCACCATCATAGGAGTGAATGGCAAGACGTGGGACAAGGCTTTTGACGCCGTGCTTCCGCATGGTCTATGGGACTTTGAGATTAAGACAATAGCAATTCAGATATCGATATCAGGCCTGTCCCTGGCGCTTTTTCGCGCATGCAAAGCCGCTAGAAGAGCAGCTTCACTGTAAGCACTGCCAGGAGACTCCAACCTGCACCACGCGTGCAGCTGTCAGAAGCGGCCGCAACGGGAAATGTGCCGAATGCAATTCATGTAGTGCCCTGGTTGAAGGGAAATGGGGGTCCTGCAGACATGAATGAATGAGAGATTGGGTGCAGACGCACATGTGAGTACTGCATTTACTGGCGGAGCAAAAAAAGGAGCAACAAGCCGCGTTCATGCCGGCGAAGCCACGGCCTGTGTATTCTGTCGCACTTCCTCGGCAGCCGGGACAAGACATCGTCTGGGATGCTTTCACAGCAACATGTACAAATGGATGGCCGAGAAGCTGCAGACACAACCTTCACATTCAGGATGTCTTCGAATTCCGCCACAGCCTCGGATCAAACGTGTCCCAGCAATTCGATTCCAACCTGAACAAACGGCGACCCTCTCGGCGCAGGAGCATACTCGTAGACGAGCGAGCGATGGTCCGCTTGTTCGAATGTGTCTGGAGGGAAGAAGGCAAAACGAATCACCCAGACCTGCTCTGGTCTCCTTCATTCCTGTCCCACCTCGTGACCATGTATTGATTCCGCTCGCATGTGCGACCGCAAGCCGTGCCTCACTGAAATTCCGCAGCTCGGCGTTCGGGCATGTCCGACCCTCCCTGACAATGTCTGTACTGTGAACGCTTCCACTAAAAACGTGATCGTCTTGGCAGTGTCCATGCTCGACTGTTTACCGTTGGCTGTAACCCGCTAGCGCAACGGAGGAAGGCGTGCTCGAACGTTTGCGCTATCATCCTGCTCATGACTACTCAGTGCTCGAACGCTGTATCAGGCTCGTGATCGTGAACCTGCTGCTGGCACTGCCGATGCTAAGGAAGCTCTTGCTCATCATGCTGCTACTGGTCTTTGTGATGCTCCTGCTGCTGCTGCTCCTAACCGTCACCCGACTTTTGGTGATGGTAATCATCACCAGCAACATCATCATCAGCATCAGCATCAGCATCCCCACCATCATCATCATCATCATCATCAGCATCATCATCTAGGTGAGATTGTGAAACGCAGGTATGCACACAGGTATGCATGCACATCAGAGATGAGACAACAAAACAGAAGCGCATGCCTTCCAGATTGTCTTCTGACACAGGCACGGACAGGACAGAAGTCTGTTCAATTCGTGTATCGCTGGACTTTGCACACCATCTTTAACCTCTGGTTCCCCTCCCGAATTCCCACCAACCCACCCTCGTCGCATCGCAGGCGACCGGACCGAGACGGCGAGGCTCAATCAGGGACTTCAACCACAGCATGGAAAGTCAGGGGGTGGAAACGAACGCACAGGTTACCAGTCTGGAATGTATCCCGATCCCTATGAATTGGCATCACATCTCGATGCTGATCGTAAGGAGTCCCTGATTTTTTGTGATGCCGCATAACTAAGATTGTTGTAGCATGTGGGCTTGTGAGCCTTAGGGATAGGGATGGCATTTGGAATTTCCAACAAGAGTACGAACCACAAATAATTCCTAAACGTACGTTTGGAGAACCGTTCAACGGTACTCATCAGAATGTCCGATGTATCGCAGATGGCTGACCTGGGAACATGGCAAAAACGCGAAGTCCGTCGCACACACTTGGTGCGGCACGTTTGACCCATGATGACTTCTCCTTCCTCGCCGTCCTCCAGACCTCCATCGGTCACCCACTCCCGTCCTCCTCTAATCGCAAGCGACAACGGCGGCGGGGCGGAGGAGGTAGGAGCCGATCAGGGGGATGAGGAGAGGCACGTCCGAGCACAACTATGAAATAGGCTTGTACTTAGATTTGTGGGTATGTGTATATGTGAACCGCGGAGGCCTGGTAGTTTGAGCTTGCGGAGCTTGCAACATGTACTTCTTCTTTCCATCGAGCGTGCGTCGGGCAGTTACTCAGTGCGAAGCCTGTGCTGAAACCGCTGCAAGCGCTACACACATTATCAACAAACCTGTCCCAATGACCTGCGACTGCATTAAAACATGCTTCCGTGCTGTGGCTGTGTCCACCATGGCGAGCAATGCTGCAGACAACTCTCTGCGTTTGGTTGTTTTACGTGGTGTCCCCCTCATCAGACGGAGGCGGAACGTTTCTGTCACGTAGTCCAACAAGGCGTCTAAGAAGCAATTGAGAACGGGTTCGATGCTGTCTCGAAGGCGTCTTATCCAAGGAGGGCCATAGCTCAGAGTCTAGCGGCCACTGGCCGAAGTCTTCGCCGGCAAAGCCAGGACGGCTTCACAAAACAGCCCCGCTGGCACCTGCTCGTTCATGGCCCGATGGGGTAGCGCTTGGCTGGCTGCAGGTTGAGCTGCATGCCAGCTGGCGGCACTGTTCCCTAGCACATGACGGGTGTATTCAGCCTAGGTGGCCTGGGAATCGTCCCTGTGCGCTTCAGTCCTGAGGAGGGCCACCCAAATGTCGGCGGGGATAGGCTTTTCGAGCTCTCGCCAGTACCTAGCGAGTTGTGTTGTGGTGGAGAGCGGTATGGAGAGGAGTCCACACACAGGACTCACAGTCTACTGTCATGTAGGGTTGTCCAAAGTGTTCGGACCAGGCATAGGCTATCATTGGAGTTTGGCCAGACGTTGCGGGTAACATCGCACGAATGCAATGACTCATGCTGGTTTGCCCCGTGAGCTGTACCAGTGAAGCTCCCTCCTGCGGATGTGCAGGGTGCATGGGTTGAGAACGCTGCCATCGGGGTAAATGGGCTCGTCACTCTTGAAATTGGCGAGCTCGACGGGATAACATTACGATAACTGCTCAATCTCCCCCTGGGGCAATGGCGGATCGCCTTGCAGAATGGATCATGTGGGCTCCGTTTCAGGGCTTCCTCGGCGAAATCAGGCATCTATGTTTCACGTGCGTCGCGCCCGTAGATGCAAGCCCATGGGCGATGGAACATGGTGTCGCTCACGTCGCAGTAGGTACAGGTGCCGTGATGGACACACACACACACCCCTTGATGAAAACTTGCGCCAACTGGGTCCCTTAATGATCAAGGCCCTTAGGTACTTGGGCAATCCCTATCGAACGTACCTCCCACCGTGTGCATTCATTTTTGATGGGGTGGTTCGGGCATTACGCGCTGCTGCACCAACGTTGTTCTTCAGGTCGCGCAGTAATGCGCTCGCCACAACTGTTGGGTGGTCGTCCAACATATCGTAAAATCTTCCATAGTTCCCGCGGAACTGGTTTGGCTGTCCTGTCTGCCATGCACGCTAAGCCACAACCCGCCACCGTACCTGCGCGGAGTGGGCGTGTTAGAATGTTTTTGTGGTCCCTCTGGGGAAGTGTTGTAATGTTTCCCAAGGCCGACCCCTCCCCGGTTCGCGACCGGGGATGAAACGCTACCCCCCCTGAAATTGTTTCCTTGCTCTTTTCGGCTTCCAGACGGCCAAGATGGCCGCCAAGACGGATTCCAAGACAACCAAGACGACAACAAAACGGCTCAAGATGGCCGAAGACAGCTCAAGAGCCTCTCAAGAGAGTCGAAAGTGAGCCTGGTAACTCAAATAGCATCCGATTCCATGGGAAGCGGATGGCAAATAGCGTCCGGTATCGTATTGAGGCTGTTCAGTAAGAGGAACGGACGGATAAGATAGGATAAGATCGATGTATCGGTCTTTCCAGCACATAGCGAACACTCGCGGTGTCCGGGCAAATAGGGCGCGCGTGCCTTGAGCCAAAGGCAACGGCGCGCGAGCTATGCTCCCGATACTATAACATCTCCCAAAGAGCTACCCTTAAAGTCGGGAGGGGAGGAGACGGAGAGCATAGCCGCGCAGCCGTTAGGCTCTACAAAGGCCGCGCGCACAACTGTTTGCAAGAAAGAAAACAGTGTGTACAGTCTGGCCTAACACCAGACTGTAAGGCGAGTTTCCTCGCAAGGCATTTCACGCAAATACAAGATAGCCCCTTCGAACGATGAAGGGCTATCGGCTCAGTTACAGGAAGCCAAACGGGCCATACCTCACCGAGCAAATATGTATTAAGGCAAAGAGCCTGAGTCATATAAAGCCGGCTCGTTGCCAGGCGTGAAATGTAAGGCTCGTTTCCGAGCAACTAGAAGGGCGCCTCTGTAGTAGGCGCCCATGCTGGCAAATTGGACCGCGAGGGGCAACAAGGACAGACTAAAACTGATTAGACTTGGGTTTGTTTCTGTCCTCGGGACCCCGAAAGGGAACAAACTGCTTCAAGTCATACTTGAATGACTGAGTGCCTGACATCACTTCCAGAAGCAGCTCCCGATCGATGCCTCCCTTTGTATGCCCGTCTGCGGTCATATCCCTAGTATCACACCACTGCACGTTATGTACTATACCTATATCCATGAGCTCACGTATCCAACTCATATGTCCAAGCAGAGTCCGCTCTGTCGGTATCTTGAGATCCTTACTTGATAATGATTTATAAACGGACTCAGCGTCTATGGTAAGAGATACTTTGATGGCTAGGCCTCCAACTTCACGCATATCTCGTAGTTGTCGTGGAGCCAGAGCTCCTGCCTTGAGCTCGTGGAGCGTGATGAGCGTAGGGTAACACTCATCGAGGTTATGCGCCGCTGCGAGTGCCTCCGCAGCATAGCTGGACCTCACCTGCAATCGGTGTGATTTGCATAGTCCGTCACAGAGGTGAACGACGGACTTGCCTTGAGGCGAGTTTCCTCGCCGTAATACATTCGCCCCGCGCATGCCGTAGCCCTTGGTCTCATCATCCTCCTCCCCGGTAAGCTTCCGATGCCCCGAATCGCTGTGGATGTCAACTTCATTCGTCGGCTTCATCCGAGGGGAGGTGATGCGTTTCGGGCTGCTGATCTGCTTTCGCGTCACAGCATTCAGGCGTCTGACTTGCAGATTGGTGGGCTCTTGGATTTTCTGGAGAGAGACCACGTATACCATGGGCCAGACTTGGGTAAGAAGGGCATAGGCGAGGGCTCCTCGCAAGCTGACGAACATGTCGGTAATGAGTTTCGTGGCTTTGGCATCGGCCGCCGCTCCTGTAAGTTCTGGGTGTGTGATAGGACGTAGGTGTTTGATATACTCGTCCTGATCCATAATCACATCCCCTTGATCATTCTTAGTGTAGCGAACGGCGCAGTTCGTATGTGTGTGTTTGTAGAACTTGCATTTGCCAAACACCTTTTCGACGCGCTGTGCATAGTCGTCTATACTTTTCTCTAGGCCAGTCATGTTAATAGCATCGACATGTTTTGCCGTTAGCAGATCTTGGCTG